TTTTCTCATGGACCCATGCAATTATAAGATTTTGACAAAATTTATATGGGACCACCCCTGAAGTACCCCCTTTCTAACAAAAAAGAATCATTGAAATCGGACACCGTTTTAAAGAATTATCGCTGAACATACATAAAAAAAAGTCTGTTAAAAATATTAAAACGTGCACAGAATAAATCAGTAGGCAACAGTATTTACAAGAAAGTGTATAAAAAGTTGCCTAATGAAGTTAAAGGTTAATGTCAAACGTAATTTAAAATTTATTCCCAAAAAAAATTTTCGAATGTAATTTATACTGGTTTTCTTTTTAGTTTGAAGGAAAATTAATTATTAAATAACTGTTTTCCAATCAGTCAGTCACAAAATTGCATTCCAGATACAGACAATAATCAAAGGCAGAAATATTTCCTTTCTGAACCGTTACTTAGCGCCGATTCCACCGTTGTGTTAAATGGAGATTAAAATGACATTGTTAATGTAAAAATGTAATTTTAAACTTCGTTTAATACAACGGTGGAATGGGACCTTAAGGAATTTTAAAGAATATCGTGAAATAGACTTTTCAGTTGTCTACTATTTTCAACAGGTATTAAATAGGTACTCTCGTTACAAAAATGAAGGTTTGTAATTACTTTTCCATTTTTACTGTAATTAAAGTTACCTTCATTTCTTTGATTAAATTTCTATTTTTCCACTGAAAATTTAACCAGATCTAACTCTAGGCCACAACTAGGCATTTCAATGACCTGGCTGGTAAATCTAAGGTGTTTGCTACATAGCCTTCCATCTTTAACGCTATTTTTATTTGAAATAGTAGTCGCAAAGCCTGCCAATTTCTAGAAAATGTCTAGACGTTTTTTAAAATATTTTCATTGTGTTCATTATAAAATAAAAATTTAATCCGTTATCATTTCACATATTGTAGACTACATTGAATGTCACAACCCTTTAAAAATACCAAACCTTATCACCACATTTCATTGGTTTGGAATGCCTAAGGTGTTAACTATACTCTTTGGCCTAAGTGTTGAATAATTAAAAGTGACAGAATGAGACAAACTACTTTTTTTAAGGCTACTTCTAATTGTTAATGCTCTGTAGGAAGAGGGTGGAGAAAACTACAACTAAAACAAAATTAATTACTATTCACTCTCAATTAATACCAATTTTTGAGCTTTTAGTGTTTCTCAATTCTAGTCTATTTACTTGATTTTCAGAACCATTTTAAATCAAAAACATGTACCTACTTATATAAAAATAATGTATTTGATTTTATTGTACTTGTAATATAAATGAGGACATTCTTGTAATTAAAGGATAAAATTTGTCACTATGCATATCACTCCAATTTTTCTTAAGTTTGTTCTCAACAAAATTTAATAATTGATCTGGAAAAGTATCGTCTTTAATGGTAAATAAGTATAAAACTTTTTCATGTATTGGATTATATTCATCACATAAACTGTGAAATGCTTGTGCTGTTTTGCCAGGAATTTTATCTAAATTGTTGACAATAACAACTGCACTATTTTGTAACTTTTCTTTAATATCTGTAATAAATACTCCATAATCTTCTAAAATATCTCTTCTGTTTAAATCTTCACTATTTACAACAATGGGTTTGTTCGAAATGGATAAAATTTTTAAAGAAGCATATTCAGATATGTTTAGAAGAATGTGCTGAATAGGTTTTTCATGTTTGTATAAAAAAATTATTGATTTTGGTTGATTTAAATTAATTACTTCTTCAACAGCTACTTTGATGTTGAGCCAAAAATCTTCTTCCTGTGATGGAAATTGATATTTTAATCTTTCAATATCAATATCTGAGTAGCTTTCATTTATTTCTTCAGTACCCTTACAAAAAAATGGTATTATTACTGAAAATGGTCCAAAAATTATTATTAAAATCAAAAAATAAATAATAATTTTATATTGTTCATCACTGTTTTTTGACAACTTGTTCTCTGTTTCATCTTCTTCATTGTCTTCCTCTTCTTCAGTCAATTCATCATATGATTTTGAATCATTAGAGAGAATAATATCTTCTGATTTTTTTTCAGATTCTTCTGAATGAATTGGTTTTCTGCTTCTAAGAGTAGCTGATCGAGTTTCCTAAAATCAATTACCTAAATTTAGAAGAGCTAATACTATAAATAATACTGCTACTAATTAGACTAAAATAATTATTGAAAATGGTTATTGGGCACAGGTAACAGTAAAATAACTAATAGGAAATGTATATATTTTATGCTGTAATAATCAACATATTATTGCTTTCTCTAAGCTGTCATTTATAGCATTTTCGATTCCACTGACCTGCCTGTGGAGAGTGATAAAAGATGAGCGATATATCCATACCGGTTACTTTTTAGAGTGAAAAGTAACTGGTATCGACATATCTCCCACCTTTTGTATACTTTCAGACCAAGCCAAGCAATGGAATCGAAAACACTATTAGAGTATCTACTACAGCAGTAGTTTTAGGAATAGGCAGTTATACCCAGTATAATATCTACACTGGGGTCATACACTTACAAAATTACCTAATTTTTTGACTAAAGATTTTATAATTTAATTCACATATGCCTTCATACTCATATGGTTTTTATTTCACATCTGCTACTCTACAACTTGTCCATGATTCATCAGAGAAAAACTTTAATGTGCTTCTCCTCCAATAAATCTATAAGTCAGCGACAGAGTGAGATACTTTCCTATAGTTCCCATGCTCTCCATTGTATTAATATTATTATTATCAAAAATATATCCTGCTAAACCAAAAACTGAGCATACAAATGACAAAATTAACATTGGTTTGACAACTTAAAGGTAAGGTGCAGAAGTACAGGGCGATAGTAATATTTAACCAGAGACTGATTTAACCATAGAACACTCACTATATATTAATAAACAAAATATACCTAATAATTTATATAATTCTTACCATGTTAAAAATGTAATATCATAACCATGTACCATGCAAGTATCACGTAGGAAGAATATATTTAACTTCTAGGAAACCACTAGAAAACTAATGATGTTGCAAGTTGCGACCTTTGAGCCTAAGCTATGATTTTTAACATTTAAGTTTGTCTGACCATTCACAAATTTCCACAGTCCGTACAAGTTGACTCTGGTACAAGTGTTTAAAACAAATCAATTATTTATTTTTGAATGCATATGCATACATAATTTTAATCTATCAGATTAGTTAGTGGGAGGTAAGGAATAAGGATCACAGAACACTTGTAAGGTGTAAGGATGCTAGAAAAGCAAACCATACTTTTTCTTCGATTTTGAGTAGGTATCGATTCATTTTAAGCAGTATCGGTATCGATTATTTGTATTGTACATGTCATGTTCTCCACGATTTCAACATCGGAAATCCGCAATGAACCTCAGAGTAAGTAAGTAGTAAAGAGAGGACAGTAAACAATGTTTGTGTTGCCATGATAATATGGTCGAGAATTCTAATTAGAGAGAAATAGATTAATATCTCTATCTCTTTGTTTGTATTTGTCAGTTTTACAAAGCTTTTCTCAGACAATTATTCCAGTATTTAATTTAAATTTGTTCGTGTTGTGGTGTTAAAAGTAATTGTTATTAATATTATATTCATAACAAAAAAGTAATATTTTGTTTTCACTTCATTAAAAATGCACCTACCTACCTTTTAAAACATTTTATTTTATATTCTATTTGGTCAACATTTTCGCATTTAAAATGACCCAGCAAAATTGTTTTACGGTACGCTACTGCTGAGAATTCTAAAACGAGTGAAAAAGCCTTCATTAGAAAGAGAGATACTGATTATATGATAGCGAGATTAATATATTGGTATATATACTGGGTTAATATTGTATAACTTTATGCAGTGGTGGCCTATCTGCTATTATATTATCTAAGCAATGAACCACTAAACTGGAAGAATAAAGCCGATCAAGAAAATCAAGCAACATGAGGTGATATTTGACACTTTGGCGCCCACATGTGCGTATCGAAATGCACTAAAAAGGATCATCAAAATTAAATTTAACACTTATTACATTTAACTGTAGGGCTTTTTATTTTTCTATGCTGTAGGGAAGGGAAAAGTTGGAAAGGCTTTTGGTAGGTAGAGAGGGGGTAAACGTCAAACCATGTCGGACGGCTTCGAGAATTTCGACGAGCGGATAAAGTTCGCACAGCGCCCAGTCGCCGCGCCATCTGGATATTTTTAAAATTTTTAAACTACTTACTCGAAATTGTTATTAACATCTATAAAATAATTTTGTACGTCAATGTATTGCGTCCACTTCGGTGAGATCCGCTGCAAACCTGTCAATTTATGTGTATAAAGTGAGAGAACTGGCAAAAGCCTTTACAACTTTTACTTCTGTTCTACGACACCTTTTAATTTAAGAAAATCACTTAAAAATGATTTTTGATTAATACGCAGCTGAAAGAAATGTTCCAAACAAACGCAGATGTAGATGTATGACGCGTTTGAGAATCCACATCGGATGCATTTTTTACATCTTGAGCGTTTTTTATCCACACCGGACACATCTGTCCCATTACATTTACGTATACTGAATCACGTGATCAAAGATTTACTACATCTCAGATGCATCCGATGTGGATTCTCAAATGCGGCATTAGAGATCGACAAAATTCCTTAAGGACCGAATCCACCGTTGGGTTAAACGATGTTTAAATTACTGGAAGATTAAAATTACATTGTTAATGTAAACATGTCATTTTAAACTTCGCTTAGGACCGATTCCACCGTTGTGTTAAACGGAGATTAAAATGACTTTGTTAATGTAAAAATGTCATTTTAAACTTCGTTTAACACAACGGTGGAATCGGTCCTTAGAAATTTAAATTAAACTTCGTTTAGCACAAAGTAAAAATAGGCCCTTACGGATTAATACAATAAAAATATAGACCTTCTGTTCGTACATTTTCGGCCAAAGCGGTAATTAAAAAAAGAAGAATTATGTAACTCTTGTCAAATTTCATCACTGACACCTGACTTATAATTTCCAAACCATATCTAACTTCACATTGCTAGGTAAGCCAAAAAACTAACTGAAACCATATTCATCGCGAAACATTACCTTATTACCAAATTTATACTAATAAGAATTGGCTACTAGAATGTTATTCAGACTTTCTTTTAAAAATTCAAATAGAATTATTTCGGTTTTAACAAGAAGATTAGTTTCTACGTCAAGCAGAAACAATGACACCGTTTCAGCAAATGTATGTGCAAAAACTAAAGTAGATAAAAATTGGGTGAGTTATGGTTACGAATATAACTCAAAGGAGGCAGACAGAACGGCCATGCATTCAATAATGTTTGCTTCTGTTACTTTGTGTTTGGTTGTTGGAGGATTTTTCTTTGCTTACATGCCAGACTATTCACTACGAGATTGGGCTCAGAGAGAGGCTTTCTTGGAACTTCGAAGAAGAGAACAAAAGGGTTTGCCTCTAATTGACCCAAATTTCATTAACCCATCTCAAATGCATCTCCCATCAGATTCAGAAATTGGGGACATGGAAATTATAGTTTAAAATATGTATTGCTGATTTTGTAAATAGTAGGATTATTCAATAAACATTTTTTTGTTATATTTTTTTTTACTTTGATCTGCTGGTTTTCTAAATATAAACTTCAGGATCTTTTAAATAATAGTTAATAACTTTCGATCAGTTTAATAAAATTTAAATGAACACAGGTATTAAATGTCATTCACTGATAGTAATAATAATACTCACCGCCCCATGAGTGAATTTTAATAAAAAAAAGGGAACTTGTCTAGAGGATGTACAGCTATTATTTGCTGTGGCGTGATTTAAAGATGATTGCTGGTGCCATTCAATTTACCTACAGATTTGTAATTTAGATGTCATATAAACAAATTAAATTACTACCAGTATGGCAACCATTAAATCCTATGATGAACCATGCATTTTAAAAATTTACATGGTCTGCTGTAGGATTCAAAGCCGTGTTTGCTAAGCCACTGAAAAGCCTGTAAATGGACCTGCTCTAATGTACTGCACTACCTAGTCGATAGTGATAACATACATAATCTGAATTTGGTACTGTATAACCATCTGTAGCAGCACTAGTGAAGCAGTTTCTTGTGTAGAAATCATGTTCTAGATGTTTTGTGTTGCTCTTGACAATCATGGAATTGGCAGCAGATGCGCCGCACATACTAAATATCTAGATGGGTTTGGTCAAAGTTTTTAACCCTTCTGTCCATGGTGCATTTCGATAGAGGTTGGAAAAAATGATAAAATGTTTATTGGTAAAGTAAAAAATTAATGCTCGGGTAGGCCAATATTTTGGTACACGTTCTTTATGACGTCATCTCCAGTTTTTTAAATATAATTTTTTGATATTATTCATTAAAGAATACATTTTTTTGTCTATAGAAAACAAATAAGGTGCCTGGAACAAGAGTGGTATATGTAACATAAAATAAACTTACTTTTGAGATATGGGACATTTTAGGTTTGTTTTATATTGAGTAAAAGTCTAGGACTACTCTTCCTTCAGGATCCTCAAATTTTGTGTGATAGAGCAGAATATTTTCGAGAGAAAGTTATGGATGCCTAACAACATTTGGCAAGAATTGTAGACTAACATGTTGTCGAAAGATGAAAAGCTTGCAATTTACAAGAATTTATTTTTAAATGTATTTATTATTCATTACATTGTTGTGTACTAAAACTTTTTATTTCAATAATATTGTTATGTAACATACAACAGAATTTGGTTTCTATATTTAAAAAAAAAATCAATTTAATTTATTATTTGGCGCTGTATTTATTTATGATATTTCTAATTTATAAAAATACTAGATATAATAAAATAAAACAATGTTTTTTTTTGAAAATATTTATATAATTATAGTAATGAAGTTTACAAGCAAAACAAATTGATCTCTTTTTGAAACTGCATGTTTAACTTGAATAGATATTGTAAAATAAAAATATGTTTCAAATGCAATCAAGCAGTATTGTGAATATTCAGCCTAAAAATATCGTGTTGGACAAAAAAGGAGCCATTTAATGGTTTTAGAACAAATACTTGATTATAATCATGGGGTGGGTCAGTATCAACCTAAAATGAAAAAAGATATTTAGTTAAAACAGAAAAGTATAGACAACAAACAAATTCGTTTAAAAGAAATAATTAAAATGGCATGATTTTATTTATTTCTTAATCAATTGAAGTTATATTATTTTAATTGGTTACCTTTCTCACAAAATAATATAAGAGTATATAAAGGGTGACAATTAAAAAAACTTACAATGGCTATATCTCATGAACTAAAGAAGAATAGAAAATGATTAAAGGATACAAAGGGAGAACTTGAATGCGTCACTCTGATAAAAATGCCTATCTCCGTTTTGCAAAACTTTTCAGGAGAGCAGAAAAACCGTCATCTTTAACAAATATATTATTACAGTATTACTTGTTCTTCTTCACATATAATTTGAATGTAACACAAAAAATAATTCCCACGTGATACTCTTTTAAACAAAAGTGTGGAGCTAGACAAATTTCTTTTTGGCAATTGTCAAGTCGAAGATAAGACAAATTTCTATTATTTCAATTTAATATTAAATGGTTGACACTCTGAAGTTTTGTCAGAAGGTGGCTTAGACATACAGCTATTCTCAACCGCTGGTCCGGCGGACCATTAGTGGTCCGCGGAGAAATTTTACTGGCACGCAGTTTACTGTCCGCAATTGTTTTTAACAATACTACTGGTCCGCGGGCCAAAAAAGGTTGAGAAACGCTGTCTAATAGATGGTAGCAAAATCCCATTTTTTTCAAAAAGGTGGAGTTAGTATTAGGATGATGAATGATAAAATACAGAACTCACCCTCATTAACCCCCTACCTAAGCAAAAATAGCAACCCCACTTGTAAAACATCATTGGAAAGCTAGTAAAAATGCTTTTCAATAATATAAGATATATTCTATATTCAAAAAAATCAAGTCATGATTTTTATTAAAAAAAAAAAAATATTAAAAATCAAAAAATTGTGATTTTTTTTTTAGTTTTGAACAATGTGTTTTGGTCTATTTTAAGAGGAAGTAATACTCCTCTATTTAATATTTGATTAGTATTTCTCAAGCGATTTAAATATGTTTAATTACACAATTTTTTAAAAACTGGATAATAACATTATGTAACCATTCCTGAAATTTTAAATTTCTACTTTTTCCTATTAACGTATAAAGTTACTTTAAAATCCCTATTTTCAAAGTAATTTTAGAAGTCAATAAAAAAAAATTTCAATCTCAGAAATGATTACACAATAATATTAAAGGAAAGAGAACTCGTACGCTAATTCAATTGACAAATGTTATAAAACTGATTATAATAACTACTTTTCAGTATATGGGTGTTTCAAAAAGATTGGTCATAAATTATACCACGTATTCTTGGGTCAAAAATAGGTCGATCAAACCGTACTTACCTATATACAAAAGTGCACCCAAAAATAGTTACAGGTTGCGTATAAGATAAAAATTTAAATGAATTTTTTTAACGTTGATCTTAAACCGTTTGACATTTTTTCATGAAATTTTATATGACGTGTTGGAATACCACGACTAACAAAATCGAGGTAGAGGCAATATATTTTTTTTTTATTTTTGTAGGATTTTGGAGGGTGTCACCGCCCCTTTCTCTACTCAACTTTTTTGTAATATAAAATTTTATTAAAAATCGAACGCTACTGAAATGCAACATCTATTTGGAAACTTTTTGTCTCTTAGTATTTGTTTGTAAAATGTTTGGTTAAGACGATACAGCCACTTAAAATGACATTTTAAAAATATTCAATGTAAATTATACATATGCAAAAATATCAAAATTCGATTTTCATTGTTAATACTATGTAGTAAGAGTATACAGGAGGAGAATGTAATAAACTTGATTTTGATATTTTTCATACATAGAAAGCAGGAAAATTAGTATTTCTGTACAAATACTCTAAATCAGGTGAACCCTGAACTTTATTTCCAAGTATTTGTTTTCACCTTTAGGGTTTGGAGATGGTCTAAATAATTCGTAGGGGGCTTTTTGGGTTTTGTTTCCGAATTTTCAAATTATTTAACCAACTTATTTAAAAAGAAGATGGCTTGTTTATCTGAATTATATATTTTAATAAAATTTTGAGCACATGAGTACAAAACAAATTGTTTTTGTTAGGTTTTACTTTTCTGGTATCATCTTTAGTTCAAGAAATATAGCTACTTTAAAGTTTTTAAATTGCCACCCCTATAAATCAGTAAAGTATGTGTATCAAATGTAATTACAAACCATTAAAAAATATCAAATTATACCTAGGTAGTTAAGAGGACCAATTAATGGAATTATCTAATAAAATCAATTTTTTAATAAATCTTTATTAAAATATAATCCTGACCTAAATACTTACTTGCAATCTTCCAAAAACATTTATTAAAACTCCACCATCAAACATAGGTTGAGAATCTACTACAGTAATTTGTCTAGATATATTTTGAAATCTGAGAGACTGAAAAAAATAGACATTTCAATAAAAAAATAAAAATTATAATTATAAAGTAATCAATACCTAGTTTACAAATTTTCTTAAGTTTCATAAAATTTCAAATCTTCACTATTTTTAAATCTATTATATTTTGATATAAGATTAATACCAATATTTAGCTCAAAGTAAAAATACCATTAAAAAAAGGTTTAATTTTTAAAATATTAGCAAATTATTACTTATATTCTATAACCTAGTTTGAGCTCTTTTCGATTAGGATAAAACTAAGTATATATATAAGGTATATGTATCACTATTATCAACAAAAAATTCAAATTTCATATCTTGTGCAAATGAATAAAAATCCATTTTTTTAACATAAAAAGATTTCACAAAATGTCTCAAATTAAATCTCGGAGATGTTATAAGGCAGACAGAAGTTGAACAGGTCTTTTACAGTTCTCCCACTTTTTACACATGATTTGACAGTTTTGCCATGGACCTAACCAAATGTGAAGCACTACATTGGTATAGAAAATTATTTTATAAATGCTAATAATTTCATGTATTCATGTAGTTTAATAAATTTTGAATAGTTGTTGAAATTTTGTAGAATTATGATTTAGAATATTATACTTAAATAATTATTTCTAGTCCATGAATACATACAATTTCCTGGTTCTGCTAGTAACAATTTAATAGGATTGGTATTATTTTAATTTTTACCCACCTGACACCCCTATTTAGTTCATTTCCCATAATATAGTTAATAACAATTGAAAAACTTGAACAAGACATAGAACTTAGATTTTTTGTTTACAATAATAGTGTCATCTACAAGTACCTATACTTATAACGTTTTCGATTCCACTGCCCCGCATGTGGGGAATACACATAAAATATGAGCGATATATCGACAGAGCAAGCCGAGCACTGGAATCGAAAACACTATTAGTTTCTTCATAACTGAAAAAAGGTCAGACAAGATATTTACCTATAATTTTAATACATACCTCAAATTTTTCCATTATTTTAGCAGAGCCTTGTAATTGTTTTCCTTCAAAAGTCATAAATGAATGTTCTACCTAAAAAATAAATAAATCACTTTCATATATGATAAGTTTTTATAATCATTCACTTTTTGTGGAAAAAGTTCCGATTTTCACGTTCTAAATAAAAACATCTTTCAAATATGTGAGAATGCAGCAATTTAATACAATACAAAAATTGTACGTTAAGTTTTGCATAATGTAACAACTTGAAAAATTTCCTAACCTACCATTTAACTAGAATTTTATTATTAAAACGCCGGTCTAGGTATAATAAAAATTATAATTTAAAATTAATGTATTCAATCTTTTAGAGTAAAATACGAAATGGTATACTAGAATAAAACTGAAACGATAAAACTGCGAAATTTACTCACGTTATACATGTTCGCCAAATTAGGTCTTTGAATAGGATCATCAAATAGCATATAATATTGTTGTACAAAACTTTTTCCTATGGCATCGTATTGTGGATTTAAAGCCATTGTTTTTCGAGTCTAATTCTAGATAAAATTATGTTGAAAATGATATCAGTGTTTGCAAAAGTAGCAAGGGCAGTAACACACTTTTTTCAAAATACCATCACAACGAAAATAACATATGACATGACACATGACAGTAGTGACACATGACGGACATTTTAGGCGGAATTTCATAGCTCCTTTCCGGATTTATATCATTCGAATGATAAATCGATTATTTATAATTTGTTCTGCCTTTTTCAAAACTATGAAATCGTGAGACTTTTTCAGAGGCAATGGGTCCTATGATTGAACGTTTATGTTATCCTTAACGTACATGTTAAGTCGAATTTTAACAGTAATGAAGCAAGTTTGTATGATAGAAAACTGTTAAATTAGAACATAACAGGCGGAAAATAACAGTAATGTGTTGAAAACCGTTTTTCATCATACGAACTTGCCTAATTACTGTTAAAACTCGGCCTAACATGTACGTTACGGATAACGTAAACGTTCAATCATAGGACCCCTTGGGTCCTATGATTGAACGTTTATGTTATCCATAACGTACATGTTAGGTCGAATTTTAACAGTAACGAAGCAAGTTTGTATGATGGAAAACTGTTAAATTAGAACATAACAGGCGGAAAATAACAGTAATGTGTTGGAAACCGTTTTTCATCATACGAACTTGCCTAATTACTGTTAAAACTGAGCCTAACATGTACGTTACGGATAACGTACATGTTAGGCCGAATTTTAAAAGTAACGAGGCAAGTTCGGATGATGGAAAACTGTTAAATTAGAAGATAACAGGCGGAAAATAACAGTAACGTGTTGGAAAAAGTTTTCCATCATACGAACTTGCCTCATTACTGTTAAAACTCGGCCTAACATGTACGTTACGGATAACATAAACGTTCAATCATAGGACCCAATATATAAAAAATCACTTGTGAGTTCAGGTTTTCAGTTTGTTAAATGGTTGGTTTCTGTTTATGAGGGACGGAGGAATTGGTAATTCCCGGAAAATTATTTGTTTAAAGGTCATTTTAAATTAATACGGAATTACCTAGCTGTAGCAACCCTTCTGCGAAACTGCATCATTTTTCGGAAGCGGAATATAACTTATTAAAAAACGTATAAGATTGTATTCGCGAGAATTTTTCAGATTATAAAGTAGACGAAGCAGTAAAATTTTGCAGGATATTAGCGAAAGTTTCATTAAAAATTAAAAAGGAGGATCGAATATAAACAAAGAAAAACGGGGACGTAAACAAATAATTTTAGATGATTATATTAAACACATCATTTGTCAAAAAAAAAAACATTATTCTTTTTTTATAATGAAATGTCAACTGTGAATTAAAATACTGCCGAGTTACAGTGGGATATGGATTTGCCAAAAATACCGCCTCGAGTCTTAAGACGTACACTGCGGCAAATTAATGTTCGTTATTATAGGAGACAACGTGATAGTACGCTATTGGAAAAAGAGGAAATAGTTGTTTGGTGTAGAAAATATTTAAAGGAAATCCGTAGATATCGCAATGAGGGAAACAAATTTATTATTTGTACGAAATCTGGGTTACTCAAGGGTACAGTTACAAAAGTTTGGCAGGATTTAGAAATAAAAAACCACAGAGATGCTTTCTTACAAGAGCTCTCTACGGGATTGTAATCAACTACGCAAAAAAGGACGTCGTTTAATAATTACGCATATTGCCAATGATACTGGGTTTGTTGAAGGTGGGCTTAATGTTTTTGAATCACGAAAGACCGGGGGATTATCACGAAGATATAGGTTCAAATGTATTTGAAACGAGGTTTCAATTTATTTCGCGTTTAGAACCGGGCTCAGTCATTGTTTTGGATAACGCTTCATATCATACTCGTCGCTTAGAAAAATTTCTTACGACGGCATGGAAATTAAGCTGAAAATATATATTGTACCAAAAATATGTTGAAAGCGGTATTATTTATTATTGCCCGATATTACAAGGAAAAATTTATTAAATTCATAGATGAAATAGCCAAAGAAAACGATTTCAGTTTACTCGTATTAAGACTCCCGCCTTATCACTGCGAATTAAATCCGATTTAGTCAATATGACCCCATGTGAAAGGTGATGTCGCGCGTAGAAATATCACATTCAAATTGGCAGAGGTAAACAAATTTTTAAACAACGCAGCAAGTGCTGTTAGAACTGCTGATTGGTCTAAATGTATTGGCCAAGAAGTAGACAAACTTAGATCCAAGAATAGAAATATTGATAGAACCTATTATTATTATTCTTGGTAACGATAATAGGGATTCTGAAAAGTCACATTTGTAGATAACTTCCGAAGATGACTTCTTTTACACCAACCCTGAATAACAGCAAACAATTAATTTTAATAACTAATTTTGATATTTTAAATTTTAATATTAAGCTATGGGCCATTATTTACGAACCACCCTGTATTTATTTGATAATGGGGCCATATATGATTACAAGCGAACCAATTCTTAAATAAAAAAAGGTAACAAGCATCAGTAATATATCAGAGGTGGTGTGGAAATGTATCAAGAATAACAGACTTCACTTCAATTAAAAAACGAAAAACAAATTTTTATTAAAATAAAATGCATATTTTTTTGTGGTTTACCTGTAAAACTTTAAAATTGCCACCCAACGGAAACATTTCCTCCGACCCCATAAGCTCCAATAAATCTACAAATTTTGGAGCGATGACAGATGTCACACATTTCTGAAATTTTCCCACCTAAAGATAGGATGTTGCCCATCGTAGGCGGTCCTTATTTTGACGTGAAAATTAAAATCACTCTGCGAGTGACGTCATAGCATCCGATACATAGAATGTTGCGCAACGTGGGCGGTCCTTATTTTGACATGCAAATGAAATTCACTCTATGAGTAATGTCATGAGAGTGGCAGACGAAAAACAAAAACGGGAGCATCTGGCCCTGGTATATACATTTGTTGCATAAATAACGATTATGCAACTGGGTCTAAAAGTCTTAAAAAGTGAAGTCAAAAAGGTAAACCTGACTGAAGGGAACTTGCATTTTACATTAGATAAATTATCGCACTAAAATATGATAATTATGTTTTACTGAGAATTACCATTTCCTATTTATGTTCAAATACTAAAAGACATTGTAATTACTAGTGGTCAATTAATTTGTTTTATTAGTTTGCTATTACAGAAAAGAAGAATTGGAAATGTACCTACATATCTAGTAAATTTATTATTATTTTTTTTTAATTCTGTTTTCATATATTTAATGAATGTGAATGCTTATAGTTAATTAAAATAAATGTTGTTTCTAATCTGTTTAGTTACGACACACTGGTTTAAGCCCTTCATGATTCAAAAACAAATTACCATACATACTCAATATTTCTATAGTGAAAACCTCTTCAGTGTTTGGCATGTTTTGTGAAAAATTTCAAAGGGTTCAAACTACATAATTACAAATACATTTTCTACCATGATGTGAGAATACTCATCACTCTATATTACAGTTCATAACAAACGCAGTTTTCAAATTGTTTCAAGGAAAGTTCAGACAGACAAGTTTCATTAATTCCTTTAACTCCAAATGACCTTTTTATTACTGACAGTTTAACACACTTAAATGTAATTTAGAAGCATCCTAAAAAACTCTGCTCCTGTTCTGTTCCAGCCCTTGGCTAAATGCTACTTATGATTTGCAATTTCAAAATTGTTGGTAAATTGGGACACAAAACTGTGGCAGCACTATTAAACTTTATTACAGAAAAAATATAAATTTTTCTTTTAATATTGCATAAAATTGAATCATTGCACATTCAGTCAATAATGAGTTTCCATTTTAGAAACCCTTAATTATTATTCTGTAGAAGAAATGTTAGATGAAAGTTAATTTCTTTGATTAGTGCATCCAAACATATTTGAAAGACTTGATGAATTGGAAACTAATTTGTTAAGAGAAATATCAGCCAATTCCCAAACTTTCTATCAATATGAAACAGGTTATCTAAATCAGTATCTGTAGATATATAAAATACCTATATCAAAAAAACTATTAATACACTGTTAAAACTATATAATGTGATAATTGATTAGTGTTGTATAAATCTAAAATTGGTAGATATGCTGATATTTACACTATTTACAGACTAAGACATAACCTAGTCTTTTAAGTTTTAAACGTAATTAGATAGCAACAACAAATTAAAATGAGAATTTTTGCACGAATAAATACTTTGTTTAGCGCACCTCTACTATAACAAAGGTGGAAAATACTCACATTATACATATTCACCAAACTAGGTCTTTGGATAGGATCATCAAATAGCATATAATATTGTTGTACAAAACTTTTTCCTATGGCATCGTATTGTGGATTTAAAGCCATTATTTTTTTCCAAGTTTGAAGAGATTCTTAATTTTCAAGTAAGATTACTAACAAAAAAATATTATTTTTCAAAAATACCATCACAGTACAGTCCAAATGACATTGTCACTTTATTTATGAATGAAATGACATTGACAAAATGAATGAAAAAAATTAGTATCGATTTTCGATCACGAATATTCGTAAGAAATCGATTTTAAAACATTAGGCATCCCAAATGGTTGTCTGTAGGCACATACTTCGATTTTCTATTATACGGAGAAAGAGTAGTGTTCTGTAACGGAGAATGGTCGCACTGCGCAGCTTTCTGAATGCCTTTTAAAAGGAGATAGAAAACTCGCCATTTTGAACACTTATTACGTGTTGTCTATATCTTGGCGCAATAGTTTTAGTGGCTTTGTTATAATATTTACCCAAAGTTAGTCCCCAAAGATATTATTTACGAATCCACACTTTACAAAACTATTAACAAATAATGAATATCTTGAAAACCTTGCTTTACTTGGTAATTTTATGTTAAATTTTTCCATTTGTAAGTAGTATATAATTCTTTACCGAAATTCGAATCCAGTTTTAAACGTTCAAATTAGAGTAGTTGGAGAATGCTTCATTATTTTGTCAATTTCCGAAGTCAAAACAGATCGAGTTTATAAAATCGCTTTTTAATTCGATCGAATTACGAATCGTATCGAAAAGATTGAAATCGAGTTACTCGACAGTCGACACAGTAGTCTATGGTCGACACGGAACGAATTCCTATGCCAGTACAGATGTCAAAAGGAAATTTTTTCCAGTGGCGTAGCGTGGCATCGATACAAGGGGATATAATAAGTAACAGCGATTCACCTTTTATGAAAAATCAACTTTGTGAAATTAAGGTAGGAATCTTCTCATTATTAGCCTTTTCTATTAAGGCTTATTTTGTTGTTCTCCTGATCGACCTTCGCCTCTTAAATATTAGCAAAGAAATCATTTATTATAGTCCGACAAAAAATAAGTACTAATCCCGAATTTTATATCGTTTTAGGATTTCTGAACTTTCGTAAGAGACCAGTCCAGCATTATCGCAGTCTGATTTCGACGATAGAACTGCTTAAAGCCGAAATAATAATTCAATAGTTACGTAAGCGAACCAAGTCCAGCATTAGCATATACTTAATTTCTCAATATTCAAGGTTCCTCGAGTCAATAGACCCTTCACTACTCCGACAATCAGTGAAATCTTTAATTCACGATGTACCGTTGATCAGAAGATAACTTTGCCCCCTTATCCGTCACTGTATCACCGGTAATAAACTGCATCCCTTTGCAAATAACGTTTTGATCGAGGACCGACAATTAAAATAGGTGAATTTTAATCAAACTTCATTTTCCTGAAAATCCTACCATAATCCCTGGACTAACACCGTTCCGCTTGCGACGATTTTTTAAAATTTATCGCTTCTTGTTGGGAATGCCGATCGAAATAGATTTCAGGATGACAGCGATAGTTTACAGTTGTAAATAATTCATCAAATTATATTAATTAATTTTTAGTAGGAACCGTATTATATTTATTAGCAAAAAGCTTTCGTACAACGAAGCTAATTTACAGGAAGTGTTCCAAAAATTAATTAAAATTGCGAATTTAATTCGTTTAAGCACACGTCCGGCAAACGTGGAGGTCTGGTGATGACAGGTTTGTTTCAAACAAGTATTTGTTTTCGCCTTTGGGGTCCGGGGATGGTCTTAATTCGTAGGGGAATTTTTGAGATTTGCTTCCGAATTTTCAAATTATTTACAAGTAAAACTGTTTATTTCTTTTATAAGACCTCAAAATAAAACAGAAAAGGGTGTTAAATTATATTATAGTGACTTGTCACAAATAAATACATAAATATATATAGTACAACAATGGACGTAACAATAAATTAAAAAAAAAGTTCTAGGGTGAATAAAAAATAATCTAGGTAACTTCTTTGAAAAATACATGAGACCTAAAAATTACAAGAAATTTAATTTGTAAAAATACTGAGTACATTTTCAAGTTAATACCCTCTGTAACTTAAATTACAAAACCAATATTTTTGAATTTGGTTATTAGCACAATTTATTATACTTAATATGTACAGTAACGATTTAGAATCAATAGAATAAATACAATATGCTATTATAGAGGGTTACTGCTTTCATGCAAGCTTAGCACGTTTTTAGGATTTTGTTATCTTTTCACAAATTTCATTTGTGAATTCAGAACACTTTGCTTTGCCACCTAAATCACCGGTAAGGAATTTGGCTTCCTTTATTGTACTGTAGCATGCATTCTCAATTTTAGTGGCATGATCATTTAGACCCATATATCTCAACATCATAACAGAGGAAAGAAGTAGGGCTGTAGGGTTGGCTTTGTCTTGACCAGCTATATCTGGAGCGGTACCATGGACCTACAACAATATTTGGTGTAATAAAAAATGAAGAAAAACTTACATATGTACTTACAGATTCAAAGAGGGCTCCACTGATTCCAATGTTACCAGATGGTGTGAGACCCAAACCTCCAACAAGACCAGCACACATATCAGATAAAATATCACCATATAAATTAGGCATTACAAGAACATCATATTGAGTTGGATCTTGCACCATATTTAAACATACAGTATCTAGATATCTTTCTTCAAACCTGACTTCTGGATATTTTTTGGCCATTTCTCTACAACACCTTAAGAACAGACCATCTGACATTCTCCTGTAAAACAAAGTCTTCATTTATATGTGTATTTTCATCAGCACGATGGTGTAGATATATAGCTTATATAGCATATTCCAATGAATCGCCAAAACTTAGAAGTTGTAAGAAACAAGAAAAATTATGTAATTTTTACTTACATAATGTTTGCTTTGTGCACTGCTGTAACTTTTTTTCTATTATTACTTTTGGCATATTGGAAGGCAAATTCAGCAACTCTTCTTGATGCATCTTCAGTAATGAGTTTGATACTTTGTACAACCCCATCTACAATTTCATGTTCAATACCAGAATATTCACCTTCTGTGTTTTCACGAATTGTCACCACATCTACATGATCGTATAAGGTTTTAAAACTGAAATATTAAATAGTAATATGCAATAAAAAAGACAATCAGCGATGAAAACACAATGATATATTTTTTAAAACCAAAAATTATGTTCAATAATTACCCTTCTAAACTTTTACATGGTCGTACATTGGCATATAGGTTGAATTCTTTTCTTAAAGCAAGATTGAGAGATCTGTGCCCTTTACCAATTGGCGTCATTAAAGGACCCTTTAGACCTACTTTATTACGATTCACAGAGTCAATAGCTGCTTGAGGAATACCAAACATGCCATCAGGACCCTAAATAAAATAAGAACATTGATTGAAAAAGAAAGAGTAACTTAATTTATTTATATCTACACTTAAACATATTAATTTTTCAAAACTCGTAAAGAATTGAGTTTAAATATTTTTATAAAACAACACTTGTTTAAAATTAACGATTACAAGATATGTAAGACATTTTATTTAATTGACAAATTAGGGTTTTGCCAATTTCAACAGCATTACTAGTAAAAATCAAATAAATTAATAATAATAAAGTATTTTATTTTGTCAATAGAGTGGAAAAGATGTAAAATTAAAATAATCATTTTCAGCTGATACAATTCTAATTTTATAGCTGACTTTTCGAAAAAAATGTAGATGATTTTGCAAGTAAAAATAAAATGTATAAAGCGAATTCTGAAACATGTATCTGTACTTTTTACTAAACAGTTTGCTACAGTCTTCTCAAATTCAAATGCGACACCCCCTGAAAAATCTATACCCCAAATTAATATTAACTGTCCAGTTATAAGTGTGGCTGAGATATTTGAAAAGATGGTATCCCTAATTTGGTCTTGAAGCAGTGTAGATATTCATTATCTCAGCTTTTGTGTAAGTTATTTAACATATTTTTGGCTACCAGGGTAGTTCCAGCCATTTGGAAAGAAAGCTTTGTTTCTCCTATATTTAAATCAGGGTCAAGAAATTATATTAAAAACTATCATAGTGTATCTATACAGTCTTCAATCCCAAAAGTTTTCGATAGTTTAATGTATAACTATTATTGGTAGTGTAGAGAGATTATAATTGATGAACAGCATGGCTTTAACGGAGGTCGTTCTACAGTAACCAATCTGCTTATATACAATAGTAAACTGTCAGATGCCTTAGAGAAGGGGTATCACGTTGATACCATATATACTGACTTCTCCAAGGAATTTGATAGAGTTGTTGATTGAGAAATTAAAAATGTAGGTTTTTCAGACAATGTAACAAAATGGGTACATAATTTTCATAATGAGAGAAGTTTGATGGAAAAAATTGACAGTTTTTGTCAGAAGAGATCGATGTCAAGTCTGGGGTTCCTCAGGGTGGGCATTGTTCTCCTTTGCTATTTAGTCTGTTTGTCAACAACCTCAAAGATTGTCTACAGCATTGTGAATTTTTAATGTTCGCTGATGATCTCAAATTATTTTTTATGGATCTGCATGATTTTGATATTAGTTTACTTCAAAGCAGCTGTACTCAACCTTTTTACTTTCCTATCTGTATACAGATATAAGGAAAGTATAGGAATCATGATTTTTCGGGCTCGAGTTTTCGACGGATTTTTACGTTTTGAGGTCCCCTGAATCCGTTTTGACTATTTTCGCGATGATGTCTGTGTGCTGTATCCACCATAACTGATGAACCAATACACAAAAAATGCCAAATTTTAAACTTAGGCTTTGTTCCAGCGTCCAATGAACTGATTAGATTTTGGGCAGAGTCAGAACATCTGGGGGGGTACTTTATAGGTGGTCATTTTTATATTTTATGGAATATATCTGTTATTTACGTTTGGGGAAGAAAATTCTTCAAATAAAAGTTACTTCTTATATTATTGTCTATAATTTTTGTTCTATACGAAATTTTCCTAAAATGGCCCGTATTCGAGAAATTTGACAAAATGTATAAAAATATGTTTTTTATAAAAATTGTTCAAATAAAAGTTGTTTGTAATATAATTCTCTATAATTTTTATCCTATACATAATTTCTCTAAAATGGGCCGTATTAGAGATATTTGAGAAAATGTGTAAATTTCGAAATTTGAAGAAAACTCAAAAACGGATAAAGAAAAAAACATTAAATTTTAAACTTAAGTTTTATTTCGGCCTGACGTGAAATGATTAGATTTTGGACAAAATCGGAACATCTAGGGGGTACTTTATAGGTGGTCTTTTTAATATTTTATGGAATCTATCTGTTATGTTTGGAGAAAAAAATTGTTTAAATTAAAGTTACTTCTAATATTATCTATAATTTTTGCTTTATGTCAAAATTTCCTAAAATGGTCCGTATTCGAGAAATTTGACAAAATGTACAAAATTCTGATTTTTATGAAAATTGTTGAACTAAAAGTTGTTTGCGATATTGATCTCTATAATTTTTGTTTATACATGATTTTTCTAAAATGGACCTTAATGGAAAAATTGTAGGAAAAGTGCTAAATTTAAATTTTTGTGTGTGGAAAATGTATATATTTAGTTTATCCTCTAAACATCAGATTTTTTTCTTTCAGGCCACATAAATCTGTTTGTTATGCTACACGGGCCACAATATTTTTGGGTGATAACTAGAGTTGCCACCTTTTTGAAATGCAAATAAAGGACAATGGGTGACTATAGGGATCCAATTTAAATATTTTCTAAAAAAAAGTCCTCATATTGTTTTATTAAGTTTTGAAAAGTCGCAAGGACAGGATTGTAGGTCAACCATTTCAATTACTAATAATTGGGTTTGGGACCACACAAAAAAGCTTGGAGGGCCGCAAAAAAAGCTTGGAGGGATGCAGGTTGAGTATGGCTGCTTCAAAGGGATCTAGATGTCTGATTGGTGTAAGTTAAACTTGTAGGATCTGAATGTTGAAAAATGCTTTAATATTTATTTCAGTGAAAAGAAAAATAAGATCCCATTCTCTTATTCAATATATGGTCATGTGCTAAATAAAAAAGAATTGGCTAAGGACTTGGGAATACTCTTTGATTCTCAACTAACTTTTAGTGAGCATATCAATCAATTAGTGGTTAAGTCTCAAAATTGTTGTGAACTCTCTCTGGAAGCTGTGAAGTCAGTGTATGTTGGATTGGTCAGATCACAACTTGAATGTGGCTCAATTATTTGGACATCTCAGTATAAAGTTATTGTCTCATGTCCATCTTTGCTGTCTGAAATAAACATTGCAGTGCCACAAAGAATGCTATAGCAAAATAATTTATTTTCCATTAATTTTTATAGAACAAATTATGGTAGACATTCCTTTATGAACAGATCTCTAGAGTTTTTAAATTGAGAGGGTACATTGGATGTTTTTAATAACTCCTAAGTGTTTAAGAGCACTCTACTAGATACTTTGATGCAATATAATCGCTATTGAATAGGCTGTAGGCACTGATATATTGTCATTGTATACTAGTATTAATATTCTTGTGATTTTTTTGATATTTCTGATAAGACTGTTTCCTATAGGTATTTCTAGAATTACTTATTTAGATTTGTTAAATTTATGTTCACATAACCATAATATATTATAGTTATTTTATTATGGGGGTTTCCCATTTAATAAAAAATACAAAAATTGAGAAGGGTTCAAATTAGATATTTTACTTAGAATTATTTTATTCAAATATAATTTAATCCTAAAATCTTGAATAAATGTTTAAAATAGAACCTACTGCAATCCCTGTTTTAGGATTAATGACCTATTTATAATATTAAAAAATGTGAATAATTACCCTCACTGGCGTAACATCTACAGATTCCCACTCGATGGGAACATTTGCAATTGTAAAAATTTTCTGCACTGCTGCAGAAATTTCAGGGCCTATTCCATCTCCAGGAATAATTGTACACTTTTTAACCTCGCTACTGAACAAACGGCTGCCTACATGTTGCGAAATAGCCTAAAACAAAATAATTTGTTAGTATTGGCATGTGACTGAGAATAAATAGAAGTTATCTATATTGAATTTGATTATATAATCACTTACTAAATCAATTTCTTTAGTTTGCCCTTTTTCAGGAATCCTATTAAAGAAATTTAATATCGTTTTCCATATAGAGCCCTCTAATTTAGCATTATATGAATTCCTGAAAAGTCTCATGGTTGAAGGTACCACAAAATCGCATGCAGAAAGCGATTGTTTAGTAAAAAATAATTTACTACAATGTTATCAAAAATAAATAGGTCCTTTACTAATAAAAGATACTCACAAGTTTCCTCAAGATATTTGAAGCCATTTCTATTTTAAGTTCTTTCAATAAATAAATAACCAGATCGTTCGCCCTTGCGTCAAGAAAATCAAATTTCGAAAAAAGGGTTCTTCTCTTCTTCTCTCTTCTTTTCGAAATATCACAACTCTCTTATCTTATGTGAACTGAGTCACTTTCTACTTCTTTTTTTTTAAATAGATAATTCTGTATAGACATTTGCAGGCGGTCATTTTGTATTTCTAAAAATTATTTTGTTCTGTTCATCTCAATTTCGGATTTGATATTATGATATGAAATTTAAAATTAAAATTCGGTCAATTATATTTTGTTACATGACAAAACATTCGATCATGATCGAATGACAAAAGGAAAAACTAATAAATATATTACAGGATTCGTAATCTTAGACACAACCAGTAACCAGTAATAAAACAACCTACAAGTTGCCAAGGTTATCGATACGTCAGACGAAAGTTGTTATGGGTTATGGCTGAATGACTATTTATTTGACAAATCAGTAATCAAAATTTCAGTGGTTTCTTTAACAGTTTCAATCTGTTCATATTAAACACATTAATAAATACTTCTTATTCATCGTAGTTGTCAGAATTTTTAAATTTATACATTACCAATCACCCTTTTTGCGTCGTGACAATCGGACTCGACTGTGAAATTTCAGAAAGCATAACGTATACATTTTTATTCAGTCGTCGATGTGCAGTTATAAAGTTCAATCAAAAGAGTTATCACATATATTAAAATGGGTAGTGTAAGGTGTAGTTTATCAACAGTAGGAAAATATGCTTTTATTGTCAGGAGCACAAAGTTACAGCATGGTAAGTTATCTAAATTCTTTAATAATATTGTGTATTGCAACAGGCTATTGTGTTATGTTATTAAAATTATTAATTTGTTTATGTATAGCCAATAACGATAATTAATATCAATATATCACGTCCGTAAATAAAATTTATTTTTAGCAAAAATTACTTGTTCAGTTGTTCACATTTTATATTTTCCAGTCATAAAAAGGTTATAGTAACCATATTATTGGATCATCTTCTGTTTGAATCTACCTTTATTTTGTGTAAAACTTATTTTACTCTTAGGCTAAGTAGTTCTATGGTATTTGCATTCATTTAATGGCCAGTAATATATTTCTTAAAATAAGTTAATGTCTTCCTCTTAGTAAATAAGTAATGTAGATTTACTAGACAAATAAATTTAGTTCTTAGTGGCCTTTAAAAAATTAGGAGAGTGAACTACACTACAATTAGACTTTGTTAATAATGTGCTCTTACTCGAAAATAATATTTATAATATTCAAGACTTCCTCCAAGTCACAGATAATATACATTTTTGATCAAACTTAGACTGTGATGAATTAATCAGATTAGGGGGTCTATTCTGTAACATTTTAGTTAATTTTAACCGCCAGATTAGAAGGTTATTTCTCGGTTATTTATAACTATGATGTTTAAATTTTAACCCAAATCTCTGTTCAATGTTCCATCAATTTAATTTTGTGTTATTAGCTATTTTATAACCAATCCCAGTTAAATACACATGGTAATAACTAAAAGTGAATTGAGATTAAGCCCAATGGAGCTTTAAAAATAAGTAAAACAATATATTTGACATGTAATAATTACTAAATTTATTGCTGACTTAAGTTATAAGTAATAACCTCGTTAATAACCAATTAATATGGAATACAAAATTAAAAATACCATCTGTTATTTTTATAACCCAGGGTCCTTTTTTTTTTTTTTTTTTTTTTATATACTTCATACCTAATATAATAAAATTGAACTTCCATAGCCTATATCAATTTAAAGTAATCTGAATTGGTCATTATACTTAATTACTAATAAAACAAACAAAAAACCATCAGTACTCAGCTATTAGTGTTGAAGAATACTATTTCTACTACAAGCATACTTAAATGTATTTATAATAATTTTATAAAACTAAATTCCATAATAGTTACTTACCTTCAAAATGATGACAAACAGTTACATTTTTTAAATTCTCCAGTGGCAAAATTTGCCCTTCATAATTATTGTTGTAGTAACTATTTGAAAATTTCTGCTATTTCAAAGATTCAATTTAGAAAATATTTACTGAACAATTAATTTTAAAATGTAAATATTGTTAAATACAACTTATTTTGCAGCACAAATAAACAAAAGCTGATTAATAATTTAATTAGTGGTCAAAAAACTAAAGTGATGCAAATTATGAAAACAATGTGACAAAATATTCATATTCAAAATATTCATATTTTAGTTTAAAAATGTTAAAGGAACTAATAGTTAAATAAGAAAATTTTTATTTGGGATGGAACATTATTTATTAATAGATAATGATAAACAAGAGAAGAGTATAAACAATTCATTTTATTAGTAATGACCACAGTAATGACTTACTAAATGAGCCAAAACAAAGTTGTTTATAGACTATTAGATACCTGTCTAGTTTTTGAACTTTAAATCATTTTAATTTTAACAATAATAAATTCTCAGAGTAAATAGATAACACTAGTTAAATAATCTATTCTATAAGACAACAAATAAAAGTAGAAGTTAGGTGTCAACTTAATTTTTTTTTCTATTATTTTCAAAATAGTAGTTTCATCTAAAAGCATACCATTGCAATAAAAATAATTAAGTTACAAGCCTTTAAACTACTTTTTACTACCTGCTAACATATAATTTGTTTTAAATGCTTCTGAATATACACTATTTTCACTATTTTTATCTACTCTAAAGCAGCATTGTGTGTAGGTACCAACAAAGCTAAGTTGACCCAACTGTTTTAGTTGTAGCTTTAATAAACAATCCCTATAGTAGAGGCAGAATTCCGTCAGAATAAGCATTTATTTGCTACTTAAAACCAATAATCAGGTGCAGACTTAAATTTGTATTATATTTTGGATAACATTATTTAGATGGACAGTTTACTTTTGTTATAATTTTGAAAAATACTATTAATATTACACGGGTGTGAAGTTATCCACATCCACAAAAGTACACTGAGAAAAATACAGCTCCATATTAATAGTCATATAACTTGGTTCAAATGACATGTAGAGGCTTTTCATTTGCAGATTTCAATTGGGGAGGTTTCAATACATAGCCATACCCGCAATTAACTTTTGCTCCGTCTGAGGGAGTGCAATTAAGGGTGAAATTTAAAAAATCATAGAAGCCACAGATGGCTTTGTACACCTTTCTGATTGGGATATGTTATGTAGTTTGCTCTTTTCTTCATCCCTGATACCATGACGGAGTTTGTCGAGCCGTCTGAGGGGGTGAAATTAAGGATAAAATTTAAAAAAAAATCATATAAGCCACAAATGGCGTTGTACAACTTGTACACCTTTCTGCTTGGGATGACTTTGATTTTAATATTCAAAAAATAAAAAAGAGCTTTGTAGAGGAAGTGTCTTTCTACTTTTCTACTTTCTTCTTTTCAAAAGTATATAAAGTTTTTTTTTTTTGATAATTTTATAGTGTTTTACTTTTTTTTGATTTTTTTTTATGAAACCACCTATTTTTTATTTTCATTTCTTAATTAAACAAGTTTTAAGATTAACATTTAAATAGTAATTTTTAAGATCCAAATTAATAATGGCAAAATAAATTCTGTTTATACCCCTCATTTTATTATCATTTAACAATATTTATTTTTGAAATTCCAACTCATTATGCTGTGGAAATAAAAAATATCACATCCGGAAAAATCGAAGTGATTCTAAGCTGAAATAATAGAAATATGGACAATATGTTCTTGTATAAGTATTCTGAAATTCAAAATTATATCCTTGAAATTATGAAAGGTATTGATTTTTTTTTTAAATTTCACCCCCAATTGCACCTCTCAGACGGCTCGACAAACTCCAGCATGGTATCAGGGATGAAGAAAATAGCAAAATACATAACATATCCCAAGCAGAAAGATGTACAACGCCATTTGTGGCTTCTATGATTTTTTAAATTTCACCCTTAATTGCACCCCCTTAGATGGCTCGACAAACTCCAGTATGGTATCAGGGATGAAAAAAAGAGCAAACTACATAACATCCCAAGCAGAAAGGTGTACAAAGCCATTTGTGTTTTTTATATATTTTTTTTAAATTTCACCCCCAATTGCACCCCTCAGACGGCTCGACAAACTCCAGCATGGTATCAGGGATGAAGGAAATAGCAAACTGCATAACATGACCCAAGCAGAAAGACGTACAACGCCAGTTGTGGCTTCTATGATTTTTTTAAATTTCACCCTCAATTGCACCCCCTTATACGGCTCGGAAAACTCCAGCATGGTATCAGGGATGAAGAAAAGGGCAAACTACATAACATATCCCAAGAAGAAAGGTGTACAAAGCCATTTGTGGCTTCCATTAATTTTTTTTAAATTTCACCCCCAATTGCACCCCTCAGACGGCTCGTCAAACTCCAGCATGGTATCAGGGATGAAGAAAATAGCAAACTACATAACATATCCCAAGCAGAAAGGTCTACAAAGCCATTTGTGGCTTTTATGAATTTTTTTAAATTTCACCCCCTCAGACGGAGCTAAAATTAATTGCAGATGGTTGTTATGTACTGAAACCTCCTCAATTGAAATCTGCAAATGAAAAGCGTCTACATCTAATTTGAACCAAGTTATATGACTATTACAGTGGAGCTGTATTTTTCTCAGTATTTTCATTTGTGGATATTACTTAGAGGTTCACAAAAATAATTTTATTTAATAAAAATATTAAACATGACATGTTTTTATGTTTTGAAATACTTAACTACTTCTTCATCAGATGTGTCATGTTTAATATTTGTCTAAATAAAATTATTTTTAGGAAATCAACCATTGTTTAGTTTTTCCTAGTTATAGTTATGGATTTTTATGAAGGGATCGCAACAAGGCTACTATTAATATTTAATATGCCCTAGACTTTTCTGTCTAATCAATGTTAATTCAGAGCTGCATGTAAACTAATAATATTCCAAATATATTTCAAAGTGCAGTTTTCTACATTTTAGCAAATTGTTTAATTCCTATCAACATTTTCAAACAACATTCAGTTCTTTATTTAAATTGATTTAACTATTTAAAATAAATAATAATTTTGTTAATTTCCCTGTACTTATTCCACTAAACATTTTATAAATTTGATAGGTACTATTTACAATATAAGTAATTTTCCCAACAAATACAAATGATTCAATGAAGAAGATAAAAAAGGCTTACAACAGGCTTATACAATTTAAATCATTCCCAAAGAGAGGATTAAAGAATGATTATAAAAAATATTCACAATCTTCTATATAAAAATACTTATTGATTAAAAACAATAATATTTTGATACATTATTGATTTATTATTTCATTTACCTACATATTTGTTTAACTTGTTTGTTTGTAAAAACAAACTTAAATTCAATGACATAGTATATATAGACCATGTATAGACATAGCTGGTCAAGGATATTTCAGATTTTGAGGTTATTAACAATGAAATATGCTTGACCTTAATGGTGGATATCATTACTTAAACTGGATAAAATGCTAAATACAAACTGGTATTGCACAATATGGTAATGAAGGTTGAATTAAAATTGGAATTTTAAGCTTTAAATGCTTTATAATTGGTTAAAATAAATTAATCTTATGGTTATCAATAGTTGATGTATTTATTTTGGTGTTAGTAATTAGTATTTACCTGTTTTGTACATATTTATGTAAATATTATGTTACAATACGAAATTGTTACTCTATACTTTCAATAAATAAATAATAACTGAAAAAATCTTTATTTTTCTATAAATCTAAATTGGATATGATATACAAAAATTCAAATTTAATGTGTGACTAAGATAGATGAAATATACTTTCTATAAAATACTTATCTATATTTTTTATATTAATTTACAATACACTTTAATAAAAAAAGTATAAGAGTAGATAAATATTCAGTCTGAATATTATTTATATTATGTAATGTAGGTATCTAAATCTACATGATATATATTTCTTAATTTAATTTAAGTCTATAGTGCTCCAATTGTAGTATGAAATATTGCAATAGATGTGGCTATTTTTTACTAGATTAGAGTTTTGCATAACTAGTCTAAATTTTTAGTTTTTTATTTCTATCCAATATTAAATCGGTATTTATTAGGATAGCAGGAATATATTTCACAATTTTTGCTTGAGCAATAAGAAACTGCTGAATTCTTTTAAACTAATTTGGAAGTTTGAGAATAAAACCTGTATTAGAATATTAGTTTTTTTCCAGACAATACAAGAGGTAAACTACCTGTTAAATGTTCGCAACATGGTCAGTGACCTTTCTATATTTAGTATGCTACTTTAAATTTATATTTTGAATTTTATCAACAATATGCAAATGTTCTAAATCGATATACCTACATATAAATTAATTTTTAATGATTTTTTTTACTTGAGACGATAATTAAATATTTTAAAAACTGGCCCAAGTGCATTAATTTCAATGGCGGATCTCGGAGTATGTTTGGGGAATGGGTTTTTAAAAATTGTATATTATAGACTTTAAAATTATTTTTTTAACAACCTTCATGGTATCTTTATTTGGAAGTAAGGAATTGCCCACATTACCCCCTCCTTCCTTTGGATAAACCCGAATTAAATAATTTGATTTAAACACGTCTCCAACTAGTCATTGATAAAACTATATTTGTTGTGAATCTAAAGCCTAAATCATTCCATCTCTAAATCGGACCACTCATCATTCTACTGTTAGTTGTATTGAAAATATCCACGGGCGTATCAGTCTTAAAGGGAAATATTTAATATCAATTAATTTTCTCTCTTAATTATTTTTATTCTTATTTTTTTTTAGAAGATATTCATTGTTTACATAATACGGCCGGTATCTCAGAAACTATGCACCATAGAATTCAGGAAAAAAATTGTCACTACGGAAATTATTTTCTATAGTTGTCAAAATTAGTAAAATTTCGTGAAAAATATGATTTTGATATGCTCGACATAACATAATTTGACTTTATTTATTTATTTATTTATTTATTTATTTATTTATTTATTTATTTATTTATTTATTTATTTATTTATTTATTTATTTATTTATTTATTTATTTATTTATTTATTTATTTATTTATTTATTTATTTATTTATTTATTTATTTATTTATTTATTTATTTATTTATTTATTTATTTATTTATTTATTTATTTATTTATTTATTTATTTTATAAAGCTCTACAGAAAATAAATTCTAAATGGCTTACAGAAATTATATACAAAAATTACAAAGATATAAAAGTACAACTAAACAAAAAAAATTCTATAATATTAACAAAGCCAGTTTCAGTCTTGTTAGACTTAGTTGAAAAATATCCATATCATTAATAATGAGCATTGCGCCATCTAACTGTGAAGTTGGGAACTTGAAAATAATTAATTTCTTATTTATTTTGGACTCTCAGTACCTACTCTGTAGATTGATTATATTGGATTAGATTGTTTAATACATTATTCTTTCATGAAAGTAGTACCTACAGATTTCAACTCACTATTTTTGTTAAATATAGGGTCATGGCACTACTTATGGCCACATTAAGGCAAAAATAAATAAAAATACTATTTGATAGGTTGAAGTATGTAGTTTTCAACAGTATATTTGGTTAAGAGCATGTAAGTCTTTTTTACATTTTTTTTATGAAAGTGGAAGAAATTCTTTACTTTTGGCCATCAGTCCGCCACTAGTTATTTACTTATGGCCACTAATTTTTAAGTTGCATTTTTAAATATTAATTTAAGTTCATATTTTAATTTACATGTACCTATGTACTTACTAAATATTTCGCATAGGTAGGGTACAAAAAATTAAAAATTTTAATAAAATATGAAATTTATTTTTCATGAACATTAACACTTCCTGAAAATGTCTTCTATTTTATTAAACAAAAAGAAAATTAATTTTGTAATTCTTTACACTTAAATAAGTAGATAAGGAATGTAAAAAAAGCAAATAAAGAAGCTTACATTTAAAATATAGAAATAAAACAATATTCGTTAACTATTTTTGTTAAATTTGGATATTCATTACTATTCTTATTTACGTTTATTATTATTATTATATATTATATACTTGTATATAGTATAAGCTGTCCTGTAATTGGGTGTACTCCTGTTTGGATAATAAAGCATTTTTTTTTAATAACTAAAACCCTTTTACATTTTCCTTAGGTACTTGTTTTTGTCACATATAAGAAATAAATATTAAATCAGTATTTATTTTTTAAAAATATTTCTTTTGCCAAGAAGTAGGTTTTAATTTTCGTCGGTGGATGACATTTTGAACACCTAATTTAGTAGAATATTTTTAATTATTTTGCTGTGAAATTATTACATTAGTTTTTATTATTAATATTTTGTTAGAATAAGCACTTAATTACAAATAATTATCTTTTATTCATTTATTTGTGTGTCTGATCTTTAAATGACTTTTATACAAAAAAAAATTGTAATGTAAGATATTGCAAATATTATGTTTCCGAGTAGGAAATTGCAAGATCTATCAAAATCAAGAAAAAAAATTGGAGTTACTATTTAAAAAAAATGTCAATGATGTGACTGCCCGAAAATGGGAAATGGGGGAAACTTGAATTCTTTCTGAAAAATTGCCCTTTTAGTAAACAATATTGACCTGTTTTCAAAAAACCAATTACTTCCATTATTATGAATTTATTTCTTTCATTTGAACCATACTATACGTATCTATTTGTAAAAAATAATACTGCTTTGTTTTGTGTGTTTAAGGGATAATCTCCGCAATATATAACAGCAGTGTCCTTCAAGCCCGGGGAATATCTACTAGTATTATTTTATGTAAAACCACGACAGATCCTCCAAAGGGCTTCAACCCACCTCCACCTCCTTCTAAGGATTCCGGCAGCGGAGGCGGAAAAAATAAAAATACCCTCTCTTGTCCAAAATGTGGCGATCCATGTACCCATGTTGAAACATTTGTCAGTTCTACGAGATTTGTAAAATGCGAAAAATGTCATCACTTTTTTGTCGTTTTAAGTGAAATGGATAGTAAAAAGAAAGAAGGCGTAGATGCCAAAACTGGACAACACAAAAAACCACCTCCTCCGCCAAAGAAGATTTACGATTATTTAAATAAGCACGTAGTAGGACAGGATTACGCTAAGAAGGTAGGTTTTTTTAGTTATGCACATGTCCCTAATTCTTCTAGTGTTAATGTTAACGTTTCTTGAGCTATCCTCTAATCAGTTATAGAAAGAAAAAGGATAACATATTTTAGAAAACATTTAAATTTTATCTGAAAATCACGTACCATGTAGTAGTCCAAAATATATAAAAGTTTTTTTTCAATCTTAAAAGTAGGACATTATGGAAGGTAGAAATAAATTCCAAAATACCTGCTAAAAAAAAAAATAATTTAATTTGGGCAGTAAACATACATAATGTTCTGATATGACTAAAAATTTTAATGAACTTTTTTTAGGTTTTAGCTGTAGCAGTTTATAATCATTATAAAAGAATTTATAATAATAACCCTGGTCATTCCAATCCCAGGCAAGATATGGCTGTTATGGAACATGGACCTCACAGTATGACACATAGAGGTTTGTAATAAATATAGACTTTTTTATGATAAATATATATAAATAATTCTTTGTAAGCTAACTTTTTCTAATATGAAAAGTAGTAGGTTGGAGTAGTTTATTAAAACAAAATTTATTTCATAAAGTTTTAGCAGTATTTGACATTTTTTAATATGAACTTTAATCATTCTGATGTAATTGCTCTGCTCCATCTATTTGTTAAAGTAGTTTATGTTATGGTAGTATTGCATAGAAATTATTCTAAGAACTTCTGTAATTTACACAGTTGTTTTTTGATATACCAGGAATTGCTTGAAAAGAAATAATTAAATCTTAAAATATTAAATATTTGAGCATAATAAAATATGTACCATATTATGCCAGCTAACATATGTACACAAAATGTAATACTGCTACTTATTTTTGTGCTTTTTTATTTAAAAAAATGCATATATACTTTTCACTATTAGCTCTTAAATGTCTTCTGTGATACTGGGGAGTAAGTGGTTATATCTGTAATTTTTAAAATTGATAAATTTGAAATATGCTGTGACTAGCGGTAATCCGAAGAATGTTTTGCAAGGCGGTGTCAGATTATCAAATTTGTGGGACTGTAGAGTGCTGCCACCAAACCCTTGTAGTTCGGAACTTTTTGAAAAGAAGTACTTTGTAATCCGACAAATTATGAAAATGGTGAGATACAATTTATACTGTACTATATGCAACTTCGTAAATTAAACAACACAATAATTCAAAAACCGAAAAATAGGGCCCGCGACTGTGGCAACACAAGGTTTATTATTATCATCGCAAGTTATAAAAAATTAAAATTGATATGTATGATTATAGAGGACGTCGGATTAGACAGGGGCCGGATTACCAAGAGTCTACCTATATTAAGAGTACTTAAGTATTTTTAATAAACTCTACTTGATATAATATATTATATTATTATTTTTGTTAAGAACAGGTAAGCGACATAATCGATGAAGCTTCTCTTTTAGTTAGTGACAAAATTTTTTCTAAATTAGTACATGACAGTTAAAACTTAATATATTGTAAACTATAATGAATTTGCTGCCCGATATCTATAAAATATATATATAAAAAAATAACACTATAAAATTCATAAAGAATTCATTTAAAATGTTCTTGCTAGATAGTGACAGTCATATTATTAGAGAACTAATAAATAATTAAATAACAATATACAAAACTGTACCTACTACATGTATAAAAAAAATTCATAATTTAAAAGTTTTTACTAGACACTGCCAGTCATATAATATTGTAATAATATAAAAAAAAATAAATAAATAAATATTATATAGAGAATTAATTAATAAATAAATAACATTATAATTTAACTAATACACCATTCATTCAAAATAAAAATGTATTTTTCATGTTGGTGCATTTTCTATTTTTGTCTTTCGCCTCTTTGCCATTTTTTATAAATTTTAATTATTTTTATTCTATTTTGTGAATTTTACGGTATTTTATATATTTTTTCTATTTTTGTGTATTTTATGCATTTTTATTCCATTTGTGTATAGGTACTTGTATTTTTTTGTTACTTTTACTTCACATGATTTTAGGTTTTTATGTTTGTTACCCTCATGTTTGTTTGAATAAAATTATTTCTTCCTTCTTCGTGTTCTTTATCCACTCTCGTCTTGAACTGGTTTATGTTCTGGGTTTAGACTGTGTGTTCCTGGAGACCATTCTACAGATAAACAGTTCTGTTTGTATTTAAATTTTTTTGTTTGCAGTTTAACACTTTATCTAATTTCTTCGAGTGACCTCTCAAGGTTTTTGATGTGCTGTCCTGGAGGATGTTATCACAGGTGTAATATCCGCTGGTCCACTTGTAAGTTTCTATCAAGCATCCTCTAGTTCTTCTATCCTTTAAACTTGAAAGTTGTAGTTTGGCTAACCGATCACAATATTCATTGTTTTCTAGGGTTGGTGGTAGTTTGATGACTCTCTTTTGTACTCTTTCTAGCAGTTCAATGTCTTTAACAAAGTATGGATTCCAAACGGTCTGTGCAAATTCTTAGGTCTTATGTAAGTTTTCTACAGTTTCAGGATCATATATTCAGAATGGTCTTTTGATAAGGTAAATGAGACTGTTGACTTTCTTCATTATATTAGCAATGTAAGTTTCCCATTTTAAATCTTTAGATATGATTACACCAAGATCCCTGTACTGTGTGTGTTGAGAGGTAGTAGCCATTGCTGGGACCAGATTCCTATTTTATTCAAGCCTTGTTTCATTTTGTGAGAGCTTTCCAGTGACTTGCTTTCTGCATAAAAGTTGGCTTCGGATGCGATGATTTTGCATAAATCGCTGGTGTATAAGATAAATAATAGATTGCCTCTTATTCCAAAGTGTTCCACTTTACTAAGAAGCTTTCTGCGTAGAACTTTATCAAAAGCTTACTCATATTCAAGATATATCACATCAATTGATTGGTAGAAGATTTGTAAAAAAGCGATGGGTGGGTGGAGGGTGGTACATCTTTAATGATTTTTTATAACGTAAAACGCAATCGCGGCTGCCGACAGATTAATATTGCATAATATGTTACACGACGTTTTCATGAAAATGTAGTCATACTAATTACTGACTCAGTGAGCTACTATAATGAGCAAACATGAGTATTTAAGTCAAACGAAGCTTTAAAATATACTCTTGCCACAGCTTCAATAAATTTGTGTCATGAAATCTATATAATATTTAAAATTCCTTTTAATATTGAAGCCTCCTTTAATTAGATTTTGAAATTAGGCTTAATTGTACATTTTTTAAACTTTTTTTTCTTAATATCAAGTTACTCTGTAAGAAAGCTGAATATTAGCATGTTCTAAATACAAAATACATTAAATAACACTAATAAATTTAATACTAAAAATTGATTTAAGAGTTTAATTTTGTCAAAAAAAGTACCCTAAAGACATTAGAATGAAAAAGTGAAATGTATATTGCAGATCAGCCACATATAACCGGTTTAGGTAATCCTTCATTAGGTTTGAACTTCGGCGGTCCCTTTGAAACGCAGACGGTTACATCAAAAACGGGCCAGGGTTCTGAGATTTTGGAAAGAACTAGTCACGATCTGAAGTTAGAGAAGAGTAACATTCTGCTTCTTGGGCCTACTGGATCAGGTGAGTTTTATTTTCATATTAAAAACTCTGCAATTTAGTTTTTGATTTATTGTATGTGTTTTTTTTTATAAAGCCATTAGTATGATAATTTAAGTATTAATGATACTAAATTTTGTAATGAGAGTTAACATTTTAACATTCACCAGTTGGCGACACCGAGACTAGAGGTTTTTCTGCCGAGCTGTCAGAAAGGGCCCTAATCAAATGTATTGTTAAAGATATCAATTATAAAATGTTTAATTTTTACATTAAAAAAGGGATAGAAAAAGCATATCAACAAGTGAAAAAAATAGTACAAAGTTGCTTGGTGTATTGAAATTTCAACTATTCCAAAATTGAACAGATAACGAGTAAAAATCTGCTAGGTTCTCTGGTTCAAGGTTAAATACACATTAATTAATTCAATCTTTGTTTTTAAAGGAAAAACTCTTCTTGCTCAAACAATAGCTCAATGCCTGGATGTGCCTTTTGCAATATGCGACTGTACTACTCTAACTCAAGCAGGATATGTTGGCGAAGACATAGAAAGTGTAATTGGAAAATTGTTGCAGGATGCAGGTTATAGTGTAGAAAGGGCACAGGTTGGAATAGTCTTCTTAGACGAAGTGGATAAAATTGGTGCTGTACCTGGTATACATCAACTTAGAGACGTAGGAGGTAAAGATAATGAAGTAATGTTTTTTGTTTAGCTAATTAAGTTTTGTTTTTATAGGCGAGGGAGTACAACAGGGTATGTTAAAAATGCTGGAAGGAACTGTTGTAAATGTTCCCGAACGAAATTCTCCTAGAAAATTACGAGGTGAAACTATTCAGGTGGACACAACAAATATTCTGTTTGTTGCGAGTGGTGCTTACAATGGTTTGGAAAGGTTGATACAGAGGAGAAATAATGAAAATGTAAGTTAATTTAAACTTTTTCTTCTCATGGTCTTTTATCATATAAATTTATTATTTTTTATATGTAGTATCTTGGATTTGGTGCTCCGGTGACGACAGGTAAAGGTAGACGAGCCGTCGCTCAAGAAGCAACATTACATCACTCTTCGCAATCTGCTGAAGAAGAAAATAATGAAAAAGATGCAGCTCTAAGACAAGTACAAGCTAGAGACCTTATAGATTTTGGAATGATACCAGTAAGATTTTTTAAATATCCACATATACAATTACAAAAAAAAACAAAATACAATATTCATTGTGATTCATAACACTTGATAACCTAGTTACAACAAATCCGTTTTAAAAATTACACAAATTTTAAATTTGAATATTTCTGATATATATTAAAAATTACTTAATAACTAATTTATTCAAATTTTGTTAGTTTATATAGTACATTTTATCAGGTAAGAGATCTTGCGGCTTCACTTTGATGTTTCAATAACTTCAGTCTAGGGCATATCATAACAGATATATAATTTAAAGTTTTTAAAAATTTGCAATTCATAAAAACTTACACATACATTAGTCATGCGTGGGATCTGCCTTCTTTCGGAGGGAGACGTAAAATCTTCAGTCCGGAGTTCATAGATTTTGGATTCGATAAAAGTCCTTACTTGGTAAAACTTAGAGTAAAGATGCAAGGAGAACTATTTCTGATTACAAAAAGTGACCCTCAAAATGTAATAAATTAAGATGGCGTTAATGTACCAGAATGGCGATTGAAAGCGGCGAAATACACCTGTTACACCTTATAAAACTATATTCAAACAAAAAGACTAATGACTAATAAGTAATCACAAAATGTGACGGAAGACTCGAGAGACGATATTACCTTAAAAGATGGTTTTTATATGAAATATTCAACATACGAATGATAAAATCCATGTGAACTTGTCACACAATCTTTAATGTGAAGTGAACATTCGTCGATTTGCTAAGAATACAATTTGTGCAAATTTTAAGTGAATTATCCAACGAGTGAACAATTCAGACATCTCGAGAATTGGGGCCCGGTGATGTCTGTAGTTATATAGATTGCTCACCTATGGCGACTGAGCTTAATCATAGAGATATTGGACCCGTTCAGCCGACGCAACAGTTGATTAAAACCGAAAACATGTTTCTGATATGGTGGAAGTCAACAATTAAAAGTACCTGAACGGTATAAGTTGGTTCAGCGGTTAGACAATACACATACACGTGGCGACCTCTAGTGGTGATATAAAAATTTTTTCGGTTACAAATTAAGATCATGTAAAAATATACTAAGTCATAATCAGTAATAACGGACATTTTTCATCATGGTTTAACTTTAGAATTTAAAAACAACAAAATTCATGTTCAAATTTAAGAAATGTGAGGCTATAATCACATATAATCAGCTTTATCCTCCTAGAGTGGTTAAAAATCAATAAAAAACACTAGGAATCTCTAAATTAAAAATTCCTTTAGTTTGTAACACTGAGTACAATACTTCGTTTACAAAAGTCACCATAGAATTTTCCTGGTGCCGATGTCGAGCAACGGTTGAAACTAACCAAAACTCAACAAGTGACGTTCAGAAGTCCCAACAAGTCACCATACTCAACTGTTGCGTCAGCTAAACGCGCCCATTGATAATAGACCACAGAAACCCACTTTTCGTCGTCTGACTTACGTCTGGGTAGGCATTCTATATAACTATACATCATTGGATCTTGCTCTTTACGTACACGAGCGCCATTCTGGTGGTCACCTTCTGAAACTTTATTTACTGCTTTTGGATGGATACATACCATATAGATTGCCCTCTTTTCCTTTACACTCCATAATAAAGCCGTAGCTTGCTCACTCCAGCTTTTGTGAATAAATGTAATTTTAAGTGTATTAGGTTTTAAAAAAATATTATGTTATGCTCTATTTTCATATTTCAGCCATTGATTTTGTTTTATCTATTTTAGGAATTCGTAGGAAGGTTTCCAGTGTTAGTTCCTTTTCATTCACTAGATCAAGGCATGCTAGTAAGAATTTTAACAGAACCTAAAAATGCTTTGGTTCCCCAGTACAAACGGCTCTTATCTATGGATAGTTGTGATCTTAGTTTTACACTCGATGCATTAAATGCCATTGCTCATTTGGCTATGGAAAGAAAAACAGGTGCTAGAGGATTACGAGCGATAATGGTATGTCACATTTTTTAGTCTATATAACGGTGTAACTATAAGGTGTTTCTACTCTAAAAAAAATGGCTAACATTGATTTTAAACCTGTCGTGCAAATTACAGTTTTTTTTTTTGCAATTAGATAATTTTCAACACATTTACAAAGTATTTGTCCAAATCGATGAAAATAATGAATCAGGGAGTTTGAGGTCGCTGAAAATTTTATTGTTACAGACTGATAAATGTTCAACCTTGTATTGTTTGAGTCAATTTGTTAACAGCGTCGTATTAAAATAATGGTATTATTATGCGTTTTTAAAATTTTTCAATAAAAATTCTAATAACATTGTTTCATATGATTAGACATTAAAAATGGCTAGTAAAGATTTTCAAATCATTCTCGCCGACCTCAAAACATGGTGAATAATACTTTGTCAAGTTATTGCGTTTAAATAAAACCATTATTTTTTTATTCTTTATTTTCGTTAAACACAAAACGGTCCAATATTTTTATCGGACACTAATTCAGTGAAAAACTATCATTTTTATCTTGCTTTGGTATAAGCGTCCAGTTTGAACTTACACACAACTTTAAAATGTTTGGAGAGATAAATGGCACAGGGAAATTGGTGGAGGAGGAGGTAACTTTTGTGAATCACATAACAAAAACTTGAAAATAAACCAATTATCAGCCATAAGAAAATAATTCACACGCTTGCCAACTCACACATTAATTTAAAACGTTGGAGAGAAAAAATGGCCTTGCGCATTTGGTGGATGGTTTAATATTTGTTGTAGGTGAGCACTTATTATCATGAAAATGTTGAAAAATAAGTAAATTTTCGAGAGGCACGCACCACTTGCAATTCCTATAATTATTTAAGGTCTGAACGTCGCGCTTTCGTAAAATTGTTGGACATAAAGTGATAGAAATACCCCAAGTTCTTTGACAAAAGAGTATCGCACAATAGATCTTTTAGGTAACAGTGTATTAATACCCCATTCCCAACATAACATACAGGTTTAATCTGTATCTTATAGTACCATTATTTTTTATGTTTCAAAGAATTTCAGCTTTTATTAATTATTGTAAAATGTCCAAAATTGCCTGATAAAGTGTTGCTGGCAATACTGCAATTACGTCAAAATAGAGGATCAGTCAAAGGAAGCCAGTGATGAAATTTATACAATTAGTCAAATCATTTTAGAATTCCTTATACGTCAAATTTGGAAATAAAATATTAATACTTCCAGTAAATGTTGCTCGTGACTTGTGACCCAAACAAATGTTTAGTTTTTACATAATATATAATTTATTACTTATTTAGATAAGTTACTGCGGTATTAAAGATAAGTCATATAATACTTACGCGTCCAGACAAATATCTTCCGCCTTGCCTCTCTACGCCCTGGTCTTATGTTGTTTACGGACTCCATAACCTGGATTAATTTTAGCCATATTTTCTTTTTAATGGGAGTTGATTTACCTTATAGTCTACCATGGTCTATAAATATCCAGTTTCATTTTATGTTTTTTTTATTAGGAAAGTCTCTTATTAGAGCCAATGTTTGAAGTTCCTGGTGCTAATATCACCGAAGTAAAAGTTACTGAAGATTATGTAAGGGGCAAATGCGAACCCATTTACGTAAAAAACACAGATGCTTCTAATCCGGAACCCAACGAAGAAGACGAGTTCAACACAACGATAAGAGTTAAACAATGATAGCATAACTTTGATTTTAAGTGAACTAAAGAAGTGATTTATCTATTAGAAATAACTGGTTGCTATATTGGTAACCTGTGTGTTAAGACTACTTAGGACAATATATTTAAATTTTCTAGAACAAAATATGGGATTTGTTATATAAATATCTATATATATATATTACAAGAAGCTGTAAGACCGATGAGCAGAGTGAATCAAAGTTTTGGTTTTTTAATATTTATTTTAGTTATAACAATCTGAAATGTTCTAACAGATCTTGAGTTCAAAATTTGTTTAGGTATTCATTTGAACTAAATTGAAACCTTTGGTATAATGAATAACAAAAAATACTATCGCATCATTTTTTTGCCACTTGACAATTGGGTAAGTGGTAAAAATTTGTTGTTTATCGTTAATAACAATAAACTTTTAATAATATATTTAAATTATGACATTTTTGTATCATAATTTGTTATGAAAACTTCATTATTAAAATAGTCGAATCAAAATTTTTTAAAGTACATTACATATTTGCGTTATGTATGCGTTATTTTCGGGGACATCCTGATGTTAAAACTATGAAGGGCTTGATTATATTTTGATAAGGTTCCTTCCTTTTCATGTGATAAAGATTAAAATGTTTTTACAATATTATGTTAGAGCAGTGATAAAGATATGACTAATAACAGACTAAAAACAATAAAATATCACGTTATTCGAGATTTTTGACGGAAATAAATGGTTAAAAAATATGAATGTTTTTATTCTTATTATTTTTTTAAAATTATTTTACCAAAGGTGAGATCTGTCGGTTCACTACATATGAATCATTTTTTTGTCAAAGGAAGGTAGGTACCAAATTTAACAAAAAACTATATTTTGATAGAACATTCATACAATTAGGGCGTTCTTTGAGAGAGTGCAATTCTTATAGATATAGATTATCGTTGATCCCCTCTTTTCACAAAAAATGTTTGCCAAAAATGTAACACTTACTTCCCTTTGACACCAAATCATTCATATATAAAAAAAAAACGAATTATTTAGCAATTGAAATCCTATCAACGAATTAAAATTTCAATAAAAATCGAATTTTCTTTACTTTAACCGAATTAGAATCAGTTTAATGGCTCGTTGGTAATTCATCGATAACTGATTGAATCTCTGGCTTCGTATATCATTAATTTCCCGTGGCAAAATAATTTTTTTTATTAAATTTCTATCTTATTTGCCGTACCTCTATCTCTCTAATCAATAAAATTTCCCTTTGTCCTCCTTTTAATAAAAATAGTACATTGTCTGTTTAAATTTTATTGAGAGGTAAGGAATGATGTATGATAGTTGAGTTTAGGATAAAAGCCTTTCCTACTTGAAACAAAAATTTACGAATGCGAGCGTTTGTCTAAATTATTCATGCAGTCCCTGTAAATGACTGCTTTGTTGGCTGTTTTGTTGTGATCCGACCACCCTGTATATACTTTTAAAATTTAAATCTGAATTATATAAATACTGGTATTTTTTTGAAAATTCAAACGTTACTAATTTGTAGTAACTTTCTAAAATATAAAAAAAACATGTCCTGATTTTGGATCTCACTTAAACGTTATTATTAAAATTATTTTTAGGTAGCATAAATAAATGTTTGTTTTTTAGTGATTTAGTCTGAATGTTTCATGGTGATAACAGATACACATAGACCATTTTTGCAACAAGTAATAATAGTATTTTAATTGAGAATTTGGTGGTTATTGTTGAAACCTAAATTTATATTTTTATCACTTTATTAGCAAGAAATAAAAATGATTTAATTTTTCTTATTGTGCTGTTTTTTGTAATTTAGGAATAGGAGAAATATGAATTCCTTGGAACTTCATATACATTTAAAAATCAACTCGTTTTATTTAAGCTAAAATAATAAATAAAATTTACAATATAAGTGACCACATCCTTTTCATAAGATCTAGACAGTGTTCTTCAAATCGAAAAAATTACTAATTTGTTTGTTGTAAATTTGATCTTATTGTGTAGTACGAATGAAAATTAAGTAAATTTTTTGCTTAAAAACTTAATTTTTATTCACACTATCCAATACTTGTCCTCGCCACTGTATAATTGCCATTGATTGGCATGACAGTTGAACATATTGTTTGTTGGTGTTAAAAAATGTACAGTAATAAAAACTTACAAAAAAAAACGATTTTTGTTTGAATTGATTCACTTTGCACATGATTGATTCTTAAATTTGAAAGTGATTTTATTTATTAGATTTTGCTAATTTCAAACTGTTTCAAGAACATTTGACTGTTGAGTTTGTAAATAATATACCATAGAATTATATTTAAGAAAGATAAATTTAATCTAAAATGTATTTTTTTTTTCATTTTCACGAGATTAGGTTCCTGCCATCTTTAATAGAATAAAAAAATCATTCTAACTGGTTGAATTACAAAAATGTTGAAAGCTCAGCATAAGTATAATATCCGTTAGCCCAAAAACTGTATTTATAAGTTATAAGCTTACTACAACATATTTGGTTACAGCAGTGGTTCCTAAAGTGTGCGCCGCGGCTCCCTGGGTAGCTATTCACTAAGTCATGGGAGCGCTCCCATGGGAGTGTTCCCATCTATTTTGCTCTCTTACTCTTAGGTGGGTATATCGTGCTTACTCCGACCTAACTACACATGTACCTGGGCTAAAAGTGAGTAAGCACGATATACCCACCTAAGAGTAAGAGCAAAATATATGGGAACACTCCCATGGGAGCGCTCCCATGGGTTAGTGAATAGCTATCCTGGAGTGCCGTATAAACAGGGGAGCCGTGAGGAAACTAAACACTATACTTAGATATTCGCTTTCGTGGCTACAGAATAAACAATTTAAATCCCGCTGTTTGTGAGGGTAACTCGCCAGAAGGACCCGGTGTCATATATGCTGATGAGGACTTTTACTCTTGTAAATCTCGTAAATCTGGTAACCGTAGTGCGCCTAGACAAAATACAAAACCTGTGAGGGCGCCACGAACTGAAAAAGTTTGGGAACCCTTGGGTTACAGTATTGTGGTTACTCTGGTGACGTCACACATACCGGTAATTAATGTCATATGTCAATTAAGTTTGGGGATTTCTAAACGAAATTTGAATTTTAAGAAATTTTTGGTTTCGTTATTTTTTTTATTATAATATGTTGTAGTAAGTTTATTAAGAAATGCCTCGTTAGATGTATGTAGATATGCTTTTGTAACATATGACGTCATCGGAGTAACCAAAGTATACAAATAAGAAATGCTCTGGTAACTATGAAGACTAAAAATAAGGAGGCGAATCGGCCTTGGTCAAATTTCCGTCCCTATTTTCAAGAAGTTCCAAAAAACTACTGTAGTTGGCGGGTGGCAAAATAACGACGTCTATTTTCTATGCAAGTCAATGGGAATTAAAGTGATTTTTGTAAAATTTAGTGAAAAGAATAAAAATAAGCTGAAATAAAGAACCTGACTACAAGTAACAATGAGTAACAAAAAACGACAAAGCAGGATTTGCTTCGTTCTGGGTTGCAAAACGGGATTTAAATCCGATATAAAATTAAAGAAATCACAAGGAGATAAAAATCTAAGTCTTTTTAAAGCTCCTAGTGTAAGTAAAATATTTATTTCTAAATAATATATATTTATTGTAAACTAGTCACAACCAGTATCTTACGGAGTGTAGTTTATTTAATTACAAAATTTTATAATATAAATAAGTCATAAATCCTGACTTACAAAAAACAATAATTACACATTAAATTTAACTTACTAGAAAAGAACATTTGCTTTCTTTTTATGTTTTTTGATGTTAGATGAAGAGTTACTACTGTTATTTTTCTTTATTAAACTCCAATTTAGTCATTGCAAATATTTTTTATAGGATCCTAAACGTTTAGAACAATGGCAGCATGTGATTCCTAGGGCTGATAAAGTACTGTCTAGTTATGATTCTGTTTGCGAGCTACACTTTTTAGAAGATGATATTTGAAAATTTTATGAGACTGTTTTAACTAATGGTACTATAACAAAAAGGGAAAGGCCGAGATTAAAGAACGAAGCAATACCATGTATATTCCCGAATCTCCCTTCATACTTGTCCAGTATTAGGAAAAGACGAAAACCACCCAATTTAAAAGATCATGACTAACAATATTACAAAAACCTCTTCAGTTATTTTATCTTATGTTTCTGGATACATTGCAAGAAAAGTTACCAGATTTACAAAATGTGAAACTTGCATTCGATAATTAAAAAGTATTGAGCCTTAGTCTAAAAATCAATTAATTACGTTAATAAGTAAAGGGTTTTTAATATACCCTTCTCATTCTCTAATTTCTTTAATATCAATGCTGGAATCGACTATCTTGAGGTTTTATCAAGAAACTCTTTTTGAAATCTTGAATAAAATTGAAGAAATGGACATTTTATTTGTAGGGTGTGATGAACACAAACAAAATATTACATCTGCAATAATTCGCTTTTACCTAATCAGTAGAATGCATTTTATTTGTAAACAAATTAATAAAATTGATGAAGCTAAAAAAGAAAAAAGGTGTCTACGAAAGCCATCAAAATTGTAAATATGTATTTGTAATTTAGATTTAGAAATTATGAAAATGAAAAAACCCTAACTCCCCTACGAAATTATTACACACTCATATCCCCAAAGTGACAACAGACTAAAAATTTAAAAAGCTGAGAAAAAAAGATCAAATGCCTGCACGACCGGATCTTTTCAATTTTTCTTTTCACTTTATATGAGAGCAATTTTCATAATTTTGTAAGGGGAATTAGACATTTTTCATTAATTATGTTATTTAAGCGTTTTGCCACTTTTAAGAACAAATTAAGTGCCACACCATTATTAGTTGTCGAATACAAAATTACCACAAACCTTTTCAAATTTGGTCATACCTAATTTTCATTTTATTTAGATAAAATTAAATAATGAATAGTAAATAATGTTTAACATAAAGACTCATTTATAATTAATACCAACAGTATTTTCTGTACTTTAGTTAGCAATTAAAACAAAGCCTTATTTACAATAATTAAAATCAATAGTATTTTCTGTGCTTTAGTTAGCAATAAACAATTTGATTTTTATTATTTTCATAAAATTTTGTAAAATCCCCAACTAAATATTTTACTTAGTATGCCCTCAGCCCTATTTAGCTTTAGTTAAAAAATAATTAGCCCTACCCATCAAATTTCAACACTTATCATCAATAATTTGCATTTTACTTAAATAGGAATAATTAGTAAATAATGTATCAATTATTTAGAAATATATACAACAGTATGTTCTGTGCTTTATTTAGCTATAAACAAGTTTAATTTTATTATTTTGACAAAATTATGTATAATTCCAATAAGAAGCCATGTATTTTGAACTACGTAAACAGTACCAGCGCCGATGCGGTTAATTATAAAAGCTCAATTATTGACGTGTGATTTTTGGGACCGTATTTTGAGCATGCCGATTCGCCTCCTTATCTGGTAACATAAAAAAGTATCGATATAGCCTATCGATTCAGTTTATAATGTATCGATAAACTTTATTATCGTAAGCAACAGTATCGATACTCAAAATATCGAAATGGTATACTAATGTACAAGTAATTTAATTTTAAAATATTGAAGTGAACAAATTATATACGGAAGTATAAATGGATTTTAAGATATAAAATTAAAAAATATATACAATATTCCATCCGAACTAATGCATGTTTAGTATCCTATCCATAGATGGCATAGTTTAATTTCGTAATTAGTAATGCATACATGTTATTTTATTTTCGATACAATTTAACATAGATAAGTATCGATGCGGGGTATCTTTGAGTCGTAGAATATCGATACAAAATATCGAGTTTTGAACTCCTTAATATCGATACTGTCAAATATCGGATCGAATCGCACATCTCCAATAAGTATGTTCTACTTAGAACGGAGCAGAGCAATTTAAAGGTTTGTATATAATTAGTATCTGAAATAAGAAATGCACAACCAGTACTTAAACCATTTTTTGATCCATCTATCCAGTAATAATTCAGTGCAAAGAATAGATGAAATGGCAAAAGATGTTGAAATATCTTTATGTGAAAACTAAAGACGTGAAAATTTTTCATTCAAATCAATCAACTCAACCGAATAACGAAACTCTACTCTTATACGTTCGATTTACAAGTATTAAAAGAAAACCGGCTTCAAAATCGTGCATGGCATCTTGACCAAATTTATATGGGACCACCCTTGAGGTAACCCCTTAATAACAAAAAAAAAAAAAAATGATAGAAATCGGACAAGGTAGTAAAGAATTATCGCTAAACATAGATAAAAAAATGATGAGTGTGGATTTTCTCATGGACCCAATTATTAGATTTTGAGCAAATCCCTTTCTAATAAAAAAAGAATCATTGCAATCGGACACCGTGTTAAAGAATTATCGCTGAACATACATAAAAAAATATATTCAGACGAAAGAAAAAATTTATCAAGAATTATTTGTTAAAAATTTTGAAATTGATACTCTGGGGTATGATGTTTCTTGTTCCACAAATATCTTCGTTGGAATATTGAGATTCTTAATTGATAGACGTACAAATAAATATTTAAAAAAAATTGTTCCGTCTGTAAATTTCGCACTGAAAACTTTAGAAAATAATTATTTAAAACCAATTGGATTGTTTGGGGACCAAACACCTTTGAAGATAAATGAAATCGTGCAAAAGACGGAAAATGTAAATGAAGAATTATCAGAGTCTGAAGATCTTAATGTAGCTTCAGATGATTCAGATTTTGAATAATAATTACGAATTTTATATTATTTTTCTATGTATTCCATTTGCTTTGTCGCTTTTGACCATAAATGAATATTATTTTTCTACATTTATTTTTTTCCGTTATATTTTTTACTTAACTTTTAAATAAAAAAAAATGTTTTCAAATATGGATTTTTTTTATTTATTAATTTATTTAATTATTTATTTTTTATGATTATTATATACCTATAAGTATAGGTATTTTATAGTAATATAATAATTATAATAGAAATAAAGTTTATTGTCAGCCGCTCCAAAATAATTTTCAACAATAAGCACTGTCTCTGTCAATCTCATGTAAAAGAGCATGCGCATTGGGTTACATTCAACGGACATGTCGTGCGCAGCTGCTATGTTGTGTCCTGTTCTTTTTCGCATATATTTAATTGCTTCGATTTTAAAACTTCAAAGCATGTCATTAGTATTCTAAGAACATTTTTTTGCAGGCAAGATTATTTAATTTAAAATAGCCATGAACACTTTTCGAATGGCAAGTTCATAGACGTGTTCATAATTTCATAAAAAATATGCCTCATCAGGTTATCAGATGGGTGAAGGTCGATCTCCCACGGTCTCTTAGACTAAAATATCATCAGGAAATAATAAATAAACTTAAAACATATTTTTGGTATAACTGTCAAAAAAACTTGACATTTCTGCATCTCTGTTGATGCGTAAATGTTTACTTTTTTTCACTGCCAAAACAATTCACAAAATAAACATGAAATATTACTTTTTGAAGGATTTATTTTCAACAGAGTCATTATTAATTGATTATTCATCATAAAACAATTTCATTTATTGGAATAATAATTGACAGTAAAGTTTGAACAATTACTTCCAACATAAATTCCCAAAGATGTTCCATGTTGCTGCTGATCAGAAACGTTAAATATTTCTTAAAGAGTTGATTGCACAATTTTATCAGACATTTTAATTTGTTTGGAAGAAGACGGAAAATTCAATATTTTGTTAGAAATCTCAAATTTTGTTATTAAAACTATCTTCTATATTATGCTTCTGCTACGGAGGCAGATTTCCAGCTTTTATGGATGTAATGGTGCCCCCTGCATTGGTCAGAAGAGTTACAGAGCTTTTCCTGAAACAGTGACCTGTATAGCTCTTATACATGTCTTTTCCAAGCCATTTTGCAATCAAGCTGGGAATTTCTCCTATTTTATTTATCCCCACATGTTGGTTAATACATTTTCCTTTGACATATTTCAAAAATAATCTGTTACTTTTTGTATGAGGCGGCCGTATGTCTATACTTACGGTATATCTCAATATAATCAGAATTTGAAACAGTAAACGTTCTTGCGCAATAGGTCTTTATATCAGGTATTTTAACAATCAATATAGATCCAGCATCTTCAATGGCATCAATAGTTTTATATGTAATAATTCTTCACGGCGACAAGCACCGCTGATACCAAAAATTAGGACAACCTACATATAAAAAAATATGGAAATTACTACTAATCTTACAAACTTATGATTAACATCTGTACCTTATAAAGTAAATTTGTTTCTTTATCAGCATCTTGAATAAATTTATTGATATCATCCCTTGATAAAACTTTAGATTTCTTTCCTCGGTATCCGACGCTTTTAATTGTTCTTAATGAGCGGAACCAATTTTGAAAACTTCCTTATATTAATATTTTCCTTAACATTCAATGTACTTTTCAACATTGAGTAGACACTCCATAATGTAGGTTTTATAATTTTTGATTTTTTCTCAAAATAGCATATAAGCACATTTTCAGAAACCTTTTTCTTCTTTTCTTTTTTTGGGCTATGTTACTGCGAATAATTTACCCAGATATAGTTGATTTGCTTCTACTAGATAGTGATTTTAAATAAATTTAAAAATTTGGAAAGGGTGCTTATTCTTCTATCATCCAAATGAGACAAGATGTATCGAATATCAAATGGGGCTGATAAACCAGCCTTCGTTAGTTCCAAATACACATTACATGTTTCTTGTCGCACCTTTACGAAATTGGTCATATGTTTTCTCATATACTAACTTGGATTTGGCCGGTAACATATTAGATACTATTGCATTTGCTTTCTCAGATATATCTGATGGGGTATCAGTACCACTATTATAATCAACATCTCCATCTTCTTGAAAATAACTTAAAATTGAAGCAACTACAAGCAAACATTGTCAAATTTCTCCACCAATAATTTACCAAGCTAATACGGTGTATTTCAGCTCATGAAAACAAGTATGTGTTCATAAGAAAGTAATTGGGAATTCTCTCCCAAATTACTGAGTATGGATTGCTAAGCTTGAAATATCCGAGAATGTGGTTTTATTTTAAAATGTAGTGGGTTTAAAAAATGACCAATAGATTCCAGTTTACTATCTTTTAATAACATATCCGTAAACAATTACACATGTAGCTATTTGAACCGCTAGTAGAAATAAGCTTCCCTTATTTCTGAACGACTAGCGGTACAAATGGCCCATAAACACCAAAATATATCTAAACATTTTTGGAGATCTACAAATATACAAAAAAATGTCATGGTTAAAATAACTTATAGTGTTACAGCTAAAAAAGTAATTAAACATTTATTAATATATATTTGGTTCGAGTTTATCTTGTGCCCTTAGAGGAGTGATAAAATATTGCTAAGTTAAATATATTATATAATACAATGAATAAACATTGATTTTAAGTACTATTAACTTAACAAAAGACAAATTTGGTGAAAAATTAAATAAATAAATAGACAAGTTCAAGACTAGTAATGATATTTTCTTATAAATAAATGTTTTCACAATGTTAAAGCATATTTAATATTAGATTATTTAGCGAGTAATTGAACGATATTTAAATTTGTATTATAGACACAAATAAAAGTTATATGAATTTGAAAGACATTTTAAAAATATTTTCGAATACACAGGGTGTTACGTTTTTGCCTGGTAAATTAAAATGTATGTTTTTTAACTAGAACAATTCGTTATGCATTTATCTATCAAACGATAGCGTGTTCCATTAGTGCGTAATTGATCAAGAGCCGTTTTATTATTGGAAATAGGAAGAAATTTTTAATATAAAAGATCATATTTTGCAAATCGTCGCCCTAATAAGAAAAGTTCTTAACCCTTTTACTGTATTCGTCCCTGAGGAGGTACATGTTTTAACATAGGATGTAATGCTCAAATAATGCATAAATCTGCGATGAAAACTGTGTTTGTACCTGCTCTAGTTCCTAAACGAGTGGCGGCATTGATAAGTCGTTTCTGAAACTAGCAATGTCAATGTAATTTTACCATTTCTGTGATAGAAGTTATTGTCAAATTGCACGTGGCTTTTTATTATTGAATACTGGCTATTAGCGCTGAAATTTCGAGTTTTACAATATATTCGGTGAGTACTAGATTGTATTTAGTCTCTAAATTAATCCGCTTTGATATCCTTACATTTCTGAAGGCTTTATTGTAAGTTCGATATATATGTCCCTGCATAGGGTCAAACGCAGTTAGTGGAAAATTACATGCGATATTGCATATTTTATATTTTTTTGGTTTGATTGTTTAAAGCGGTATTTTTATTTTTTTTTAGAAAATGTCGACGTGATAAAAAGCCACTTACACATGATGCACTTTTAAAATATTTTGAAAATAACTCCGATTCTAATTTACCGAATTTATCAGGCGATGAAAATAATTTTGGAAGGGATAATGATGAAATCTGGGAGAATGAAAGATCGGACGATTTAGTAGACAATACAGAATGAATAACACTCTGTATAAAATGAATCTATCATCACTATTCGTTAGATTTGTATCTTATAGGTCTACATTTTAAACAATTTTAAAATCATTACTAACCTACCTAAATTATGATAAATTTTGTTTGGGGTTTGCATTATTCTTTTATTTAACAAAAAAATTAACTGCTTGGCAATCATGTAAAAAAATTTTTCCGATACATATAGTGCTTGGTGCTTAAATGATAGAAAATAAAAACATGACCGAATAAACCAAGGAAATTTGTATTTATATGGAATAAAGTTCAGGGTGTTCTGTTTAAAAAATATACAAGTTTATTTGCCAGACAAAAACGTAATACCCTGTATATCCAAACATATTTTTAAAATATCCTTTTTTCAAATCCACATAACTTTTATTTGAAATTGTCTGTGTGTCTATAGCAGAAATTGATTTATCGAATAATTACGCGCTGATGGGACACCCTGTATATACTATTTGTATTTTTTATTTTGATAGGGGTACTTTTTTTAATTCCCGTTCATCAAAGTCATTGACCTATTGTGCTCTCTTGTCGTATTCTGTGTAAGCTTTGTTACTGCTTTTCAGTGCCACTTGAGGAACAACACTGTTAGACCTACCTAGACAAAAATAATTGTTAATTTAATGACAAAATAATGTTAATAATTACAGAATCAATAAATCATTGTGAAAACAGATATTTTACTTACTTAGCATTAAGGCAAAATTGTCATTTTTATAAAACAACTTTTTAAACTTAGAATACATACATTGTCAAATAATAGTATGAGTCAAGTTATAAAATTAGATAAAGTACAAATACATTCTGGCAAGAAAAAGCTTTAAGCTAGTTTATTGTAAATAAATTATTTAGTTTGGCGCGATGAAAATGAAACAGTCATTTCAGAAAATTCATGAGTATTTTTCTAAATCTACCAAATCAAATTTGCCTTCACATTTGGATTAAGTCACAAGTTTGTTCTCCCAAGGCGAGTTTAAATTGATATCTGGGTATTCATATTGGTACGGCTAAATTCCCCATAATCTTTTAAAATATGCCACACATGGAACATTACCTATTACATAATTATTGAGATAGAAAGGTATCCCCTTGGAAGCAAATATTTTTCAGAAATTTATTTAGTCTGTTTCATTTTCACTCGGTCACCACCTATAAGTTTCAAGAAAAATAGTACACTAAAAATTGGTTCGTTTGCGTATGACATTATTTTAAAAAATCACTTTTCTGGTGTCTATTGCTGTCGAATTTTTAATAAACACATTTTTGAACAATGAGCATTAAAAAAATGTTGAATAATAATTTAAGAATGATTGTACAAATGCAATTTTTAGCAAAGTTGGCAATGCCATGCTAATCATTTAACAAAAAAATAAAAAAGGTACGTACTATGAAGGTATACAATATTTAATATCATTTGTATTTGTCTTAATTATTGTGGATTTAAACAGAACAGTTTATAATCAAAGGAAATTGTTTTCAACCCTGAACAATTTATTTACAATAACCCTTTTTTAAATAAATGAGGTAGTTATATGTCTATCGAAAATAAAATTGTGTATTCAACATTTTTTTTTTTTTAGACAAATGTTGCACAACCTTTTTTGAGAATTTTTTTTGTTAGTTTATGTAAAGATACTTTTTCATAGTTCAGTGCAAAAATAGTCTATAAATCTAAATTTTCATGCAACAAGAATATCAATAGAGATATGTCATATTTGTCATATGTACAAATTTCCACAACACTGATTTATTATTATACTTTAAAACAAATTTTAACGTCTAACGAAATGTTTGAGCTAATTTCTAAAATATCGCCTTACTAAATTAATGGTGAGTAACTTTTTTTAGTTACCTATTTTTGTAAAATAATTTAAATAATCTAAAAGTGTAAAATAATAAATAATCTAAAAGTGACTATATAATACTCTTGAATAATAAGATAAATTATTGGAATTTTAGAGAATGTAGTCATTATCAATGCCTAAGAATAATTTACTTTAAGTCAACAATTTTTCAATCTAATAAAAATGCAAAGGGAATTTTATCAAATGCTGTTTAACGTATTTTTTCTCATAAATTAATTAAAAGACTTAATGGTTTAAAGCTAAAAATACTATAATTTATTCGCCTATAAAAATGTATTTTAAACAATTTTTGGTAATATACGCAGACACTCGAACGGCGGATGTAACTATTGAAATTTTACAGAAAGTTTCTAGACACTTTGAAACACACTATACATAACAATTTTGGGTCCGCTGAAACTAAAAAAAATTTTTTTTTACCTTAAAATCCTTAAAATTTGTTGTCGGGTCTTCATCATTAAACAAATGTGAAATAAACCATTTTCACTGATTTCTGGTTGTATAAACGGCTAAATATCAATATTATATAGAGCAATAAACCATACCAAATTTTTTTATAAACGATTAAATTTTCTTATTTTTCATTTTTAAATTTATTAGAAAAACTAATAGACAGTAAATTATTTTCAATGACAATTGACGTGTCTAGTTTCTATAAATGCGGTGTTGCCAAATCGAGTAAGAAAACGTATACGACAGAAAATAGTTCGGTTAATGAAAGCTGGCTGTTTGGAAATGGCTTCTGGCCGGCAGGTGAACTTGGATCCCTAAGTGAAAACATTTGTAGTAATCACAGATATCCGTCTTTTTATTTCATTTCATGATGTGCATTAATTACGGCATGTCGGAACTTATGTACTGTTTGTAAAAAATACTTTTTTTTCAATTTGAGCTGTGTCCAGGCCGTTGAAATCTATGCCTGTCAGCGTAGTCAGGTATAGGTTAAAAACAAGAAGTCGTTGCTTCGTCTTCTTATTATTAGATGTTCGCGACAAAGACACGTTCGTTAAAAGTTGGGATCGAGGTTCACTGGCCAGACGATAGTGAGGGTTGGTTAAGTTAGAAAATATCAATACTGACGTCGAAGAGTACTCTGCCGATGAGGATGAAGAAGATATTAATATTGGTACTTTCTAAATCGAAAGTTTTATATTTTTTTTCTGATACTGAAGTCAATTGGTTGGCCTGATACGACACAGGACATAGATAAAAATGATCATTGCCACGTAATAATTGATATGGCAACATTGTATTTCTTATAGACACACGTCACACTGCCAATGACAATTGTCATTAGGTTTATGAAAATTAGATCAATTTGGTCGTAAATTAAGAAAATAAACTGTTTACGAAAAAATTTGGATTGGTTTATTGCTTTATGGATGGTCTAATATTACTATTTAGCGGTTTCTATAACAAGAAATTAATCAAAATGAACATATTTTAAAATTTTAAGGTAAGAAAAAATATTTTAAAGCGTTTGAGGGCAAAAAAGTATTTTGAATGTGTTTCGGAGGGTATAAAATGGTGTTAAAAAAAGCCCGTTCGACCGTTGGCGGATTTTTCCCATTTTTTCTGGCGAAAGTAAAGACATAAAAACATATTAATAATATTTTCATCATTTTTTAAATAAAAAATAATGGTTAGAGAACTTTTAAGTCGATCAAAATTCTGTGACAGCAACTATAGTGACTAAACTACACATAATAAAGAATTATTCTCTTAGAAATATCCTCGAATAATACCAAACATTAAAAATAAATAAATCACATTAAAAAATCACAAAAAGGGGGACTAGAGATCTCCGTCGTCAATGGATTTATTCAAATCGGCAACTACCCTACCCAGAGCCTCCCTGTACTCTGAATCCCTTTTGAAAACGGAATCCAAAAACTGCTCGTTGCCAAAGAACGCGAAAACGCTCTTTATTCTAGACAGAGACTTATCGGTGAGATGATTCGAAACGATGATCTCAAGGCACTTCTGGCTTTCATTAAAAGCTTGGACGATATAATGCCGGTCATAGCTAAAATCGACTTCGTAAAATGAAATGATCGCCATGCCGGCTAGCCGGAATTTGTTTTTGAATTTTTCTGCTTCTTTCAATTCTTCATCTGTAAACATATTGTTCCGGTGTAGGACGCCTATCTTTATGACGATTTTTATTATGTTCTTGATTAGTTTCTCGGCTTCCTTCTTGTTATCAGACTAAAAAATATTTATTAATATCACATTTGTTGAACAACATAATTACTTAATAAAAGGCGTTAGACAAAGTTTTTAAATGATACAATAATAGGGAACGTGCGTGAAATATAGAGGCAGCACTACTGTCGAAGTTAGCCCTCTCTAGTGTTTAATTTTAGAATTAAATGGAGTGAACATTGCAAGTAAATAATAAAAGATATTTTTTAAAATATTAAATATAGATACCGGCCCGTAACAACCGTGTACCTGGTCAAAATTATATAAAATGAGAAAAATTATTAAAATCTGGACATGTTAGTAGTATATACATTTTAAGCAAAAAGATTTAAATAGCTAAGTGACAATAAATTGTAAAGTTGTACCTCAAACAAGTATATCCAATGTCAAAATATCGTTATTTAGTAACAGTGAATTTAAAAGTATTACAATAACATTTAAAAAATGTAAATTAATAAAAAAGATTGAGAATAATTATAATAATTCTTTTTAGCTTTATGTTAGTCGAAATGTCATTCATCCACGATACACAGACTAACGGTATGTTTCCTGCGCATGCAGCTGACTGACTGACGGTGACGTCACGTGGGACATAGAATTATAAGCACTAAATGGGATATAGTGTTTAAAATTCGATATTTTGCCAATTTTAGATTTTATGCAGTTACTTAAGCTTTATTGATTATTTTATAATATATTCGTTTACAAATATGAAGGTTTAAGGTAAATAATACTAATAAAAATATAAATTTTTCTCATAAATTATAGTTATTTTGTGACAAAATCCATAACCTGGCCATAAGATAAGTAAAAGATATAGACTAAAAATACAAATTTGACTCAAATTTGTACTTTATGGGCGTAGTAGTTCTCTTGAAATCTCTTTTCTTATTATGTGAAATAAAAATAAGTGTGCAGAAACAAATTATTTATTTACAAAAAGTAAGTACACAAAAACATTACTTTTTATTTGGCAAATTTAAACATTTTCTGTCAAGTTTACTTTGAAAATACTCAAAACCAATTTTCCTGTTCATTTATCTTATTCTTATATATGTTCGTGTCCTGCTCATGCATCGCGTTACTTAAAAAGGAGTAAAAGGACCGCTGTATTGGGACAGGAAACTACTGTTTTATCTGCTAAAATTTTTAAATACCGATTTATTTTCTTTGCTTAATGAGGCCCGTGCACCTGGTGGAATTCAGTTTCCTTTTTTTGCGTCTATGTTTAAGAGGAATCTCACAACTACTTTCAATTAAGTTTGTCCTTTCTTCGATAAGAATTTACCCATATTTTGTGGCATTCGGAAATATCTCCACCGCGCAGTCCGGCATTTTAAACATTAATTTAGTTCTTCCATGTTATATATGAAAATATACTCACTAATAACACAAAAACAAATAGATTATTAAATTATTTTACACTATTCAATCGAAAAGTATCAAAATAACTAGAAAGTTCGTCCCGCATTACGTCATGCGCGGTTTGGACGAATTTTGAATCGAAAGTCAGCATACCATTAGTATGTGTATCGTGCATTCTTCCACCTTAGACGTTTATGGACACCCAATCAATGATATACAATTATATAGATTGCCCGCCCATCTATAAAAAAGATTACGAAAAGCGGGTTGCAATGGGCCTTTCCTAGTGCTTACTAAATAGAGCCGTTCTAGCCCAAATGTGTTTTAAAATAAAATTTCAACATTTTAATGTTTAGAAAAAGAAAATAACTAAAGTTTTACTTCAAGACACGTTATTATGTATTTTGAAAGTTGAGTTTCTATATGTAGTTAAATATTACTAAGAGATCTAAACAATTTTACAACAGATGGATCTAAATAATTTTAGCTCACTCTCATTTCAGACATAACACTATATAAATCACATAATTGCAATATGTAATACAACTTTGAAAAGGTAATGTAAACAACTTTGATATGAGATATATAAACAACTTTAATAAGAGTTGTAATTGGACACTTATCTATTTTTTTTAATTTGATGTCATCGGCATCGACTACTACGGCCATTAGCCTCGTGTTCTATGTAAGCTTTGTTACTGTTTCCCAGCGCCACTGTAAGAACAGCACTGTTAATTAGAACCCAACAGTGAATGGTCGAGTGGGGAATCCTACCAAGGCATCAGAATTAACGGTGGGATTCGATCCTGAGACCTTCCGATCTCAAAGTCATGACTCTAACCACTGAGCCAACCCAGCCCCCAACACTTATCTATTATTCTGAATAATGTTTAATAGTGTTACTAAATTTTTTTATCAAAAATAATTGGATTTTTAATATTTTAAAGTTTGTTGCAATCTATTTTGACAGTAATTGCAATGTATTAATTAGGATTAGTTTATTTTATTGATAAAGACCATGATATTTTTGTCAAATTGGTCATTATAATTTCATAGCAACATTCTACATTAGTTTTAATTAACAGAATAAACCATTATCTGTATAATTATATTTATATAAAATGTTCATTTAAATATGTAAAACTATTAATTACAAGAAAACACTAAAGATTCTAATTTCTAAACCGGTTCTGTAAATGATTTGTTTACAACTAAGTGCTCAAAATTGATACAAGCTAGATAAAAAGAAAACTTTGACCAGTAAAATACTTTTCATCGTCTGATATAGGTCCGTATTTATAAACAGAACTCAGCTGAGTTGGACTTGGGTAAGTCATCCTTGAACTAAAATCGAAGTTCGGTTACAACGTCTCTAAAGTTCCAGGTGGTTTCGGTGTTACACTGGAATTTAGAGATCGAGATTAGCAAATCTGTAACTGTTAAGTACATTTACGGATTTATTATAAATATAAAAAGTCGTGACGTTGGTTCCAGTCTCTTTCAATATAAGCCTCAAGCTACTATTGTTTCATACAAACCAAAAGAAAATAAAGATGTACTATTGATATCAACCCAACACTTTGATGGTTCCATAAACGAAAAGACCGGTAAACCTGAAATTATTAGATTTTACAACAATACCAAAGGTGGCGTAGATACCTTACATAAAAGGCGCAATTCATTCAACGAGGCAAGAAATACTAAACGCTGGCCAATGGTCGTGTTTTATACTTTATAAAACATGGCTGGTATCAACAGTCAAGTAGTCTACCTAGTTAATCAGAATGAGGTTAAAAACAAGATAATTTTTTAAGACTTCTATCTAATCAACTAACGGAAGAACATATTCAAAGAAGACCGATCAGTTCTGAGGGCCTTAGACGACAACAAATTGTGCTAAACATATATCTCGAAGGAACGCAAAATAATGCATCAACTTCTTTTATCAGATTTTACTCTAATTAAATGAGCCAGTCAAAGACAGAGTTCTGAAATTAAAATATTGTATAGTTTGCTCTCAGTTTAGTACAATGTTATTGTTGCTGAACTGGAGAGTGGTTTGGGGTCTTATTTAAAGAAACAGAATATCTTAAAGAGTTCTTTATGTGCAACAGATTAAATATCTTTAATTAAAATTGACAATATATGATTTTAACAATAAAAAAACCGTAAATGAACCCACGTAGTACTATGCGGTTTACAGTACAAGGTAAATACCCTTTTAATCTAAAAGTAATGATATTGATGATGATATAGTTTAGCTGGTAAAATATAATATAAAAATATGTTTTATTCAATATTTATTATCTTGTTTTGCAGGTATTCCTGTACCCAAAGGAAATTCAATTGGAATCGCCCTGTTATACATTCGAGAGTTATAATTGGAAATGTCTTACTTGTTTCGTTGCAGTAAAAATAATTTTAATGGTTCAAAAGCATCAACCTGAACCTAATTATATCTGCAGAAATGTGTTGGGGCAGTATCAAACAGCTGCAGACTGGAAGGTGAGTGATGCTATTAGATATAATTCTTATTTCAATGTTTCATCCAAGAATATGTATTAGATGAGAGGTAATTCTATATATGGTAACTAGTCCACTATATGGTAGCAACGAATAAAAGCTAGGTGGTAGTTGATAGTCGATGGCTTGAAAACAGGATGAATCTAATATATTGAAGTTTTTATGATAAGATGAGATCAAGGTAGCTTACCGTGAAGAAGTAGCGGCCTTCTAAACATATGTATACAAATCCACTAACGCGTATAATCAGCTTTGATTAATTTTTCGTTATACAATATCCATGATGGAATTTCTTTTTGTTTTAGGCTTTTTTAATCCCAAATAAATTTCGATTATTTTAATGAGTCCACATGGCCCAATATCAGCCCAAAAAAAGAAAGAGACAGAACCAGGAAGTGAGAGAGAAAGTGTACTTCCTTTCTAGGTAGGAGATTTTTGGTGACCTAATATTTTTGACAACAATGGGAAAAAGAATAGTTAAAGTTCTAGGTTAATATTGGTTGTACTTTGGAGTGTAAACAATAATTCAAGTAAAACAAATAATTATTAAATATCTATTAGAATTATTTTAAACTGTAAGTAATTATTTATTTTTTTTCTTCAGTTTATTTTAATTTTAAAATCTCTGTTGCACAAAAGTATTGAGCCCGTAATTTTACAAATAAACGAAAAAAATATTTTCTATGTTACCAACAATGCAAAAACTTTCGTTTAACAAAATACTGTAGTCTAGAATGTAGGAAGAATTTATGTTTCGATAATTTTAATATTCACTGCAATAATTATTTAACTTCTAAAAAGTAAAACCCTAAATAAGTACCCTTTACTTTTCATTTCAATGTATTTGAGATACATCTGCGACTTACGGTGTAACATTTGAGACGCGACTGCCAGAAGGTTAAGCCAAAAGAGTTTTTCGATACTCTAGTCATGACATTTATGACCAGAAGTCGATGACGATAAGATAACCATTAAATCTATTAATAGTCACTCAAAGCGACACAAAAAAAGACACTAAGTAGGCTTGGCATAAAAAGTGAAGAGATAAAAAGACAATAAACGTTATAAAACGAAATAGCTACTTCAACATGGAGATCGGCAGGGCACAAAAAAAAAAAGAATAGACAAATATAATGGTACAGTAGACATCTATCTCACACAAACACATGGCTCGATGTTATGAAGATGAAATATTTCCAGTAAATATACCGGGTGTTCAAATTAAAGTGTTACTGTTAAATACCGCCGACAATAGTAATTTTATAAAAAAAAAGTTTCAAACAAAAGTTTTGTAGTTTTTTTGGGAGAAACATTTTGGCAAAATTCATTTTTTTATAGCTGACCATGGCCATATCGAGTAAACTTTTTTTTTAAAATTGGGGAACCCCATTTTTTTTACATATTCTTAAAGTACATAAAAAAAATAAGTAACTTTTAAGGCAAACATTTGAGTTTGATTATATACAACATTGACAATTAACATAACACTTCACAGAATAAGGCAGTAAGTAAGATACAACCATAATACAATAAAAAATACGTAGGTATATTTTTATTGCTACATTAAAAAATATGCAAACAATAACGCTGTAACTCATTTTACAATCTTTCAATATGCTGCATATTATTCGAAACTACAAAATTTGACGCAAGTAAAGAGGTACCTGGCACGTGTTACTGCCTTTTTAAGGCGGAAATGGTACACGTAACTTGAAATACAACTTTTTTCAAATGAGTATCGACCAAGCCATTGAAAATTAAGAAACGTTCTTTATAGTGATGGACTCGCCTCATTTTGCTGAATACGCCCGTGGCTGAATTTAAAAAGGTCGTATTGTGAGTTACAACCTTGTTCGATGGGGGTGTCGTAATAAGGAGTAGTAATAAGGACTATACTTACGTATTGCTTTGCCAAACGATATAGATTATCCAATAGGGACGCCGTCGTGTCATCGATAAACGCTTTAACAATGTTTTTTCCTGCCATACGAGACAGGATTTTCTTCTGGGCACGAAGCCCTATATCCCTTGCTTTGAAAGCGCTTTCTGTCATAACTACGAAAAATAAAACAAAATTTTAAAATGTAACAGAAAATGCAGTGTGGATTAATCGAATATTTTTGAGTGACTGAATTATTGATTGATGACAAAATGTTTTGAAATCAAAGGATTATTGAAAGTTTTCTATTAAGTACTTTCTTTGACTAATACAAAATCTATTTGTCGAGATAAGATAAGTAAATTTATTTTACTATCGAAGCGAAACAAACGTGACAGATTGGTTTTAGAAAAATTGGGAATTTTAAGTTTTAAATTCGAATTGAACCCAATTTGGATAAACGGACGTCGTTAAGTAGTAATTAGCGTCTATATTAGATATCTTTTATTATGAATAGCAAAGAGTTTTCAATTTGTCAATATTTATTTATTGGTCATCAGATTAAAGACTTATTTATTAAAGTATAGTAAATTTCTCAGATTTATATTAAATGTCACATTTTTAATTTTTATTTATTTATTTAAACGGTCATATACCCTTTTACAATATATTACATATACTATAAACTACAAGTACTTAACGTTGCCTAAAATAACGGAAATATAATACAGGGTTATCTTAAGTTAATTTTTTAAACTGTGTATAGAAATCGTTAAAATAAACTTTTTGTTGAATAACTTTTTTAAAACCCAAAAATAAGATACACAATTAAAAATCTAAACCCGGACCTGGACTTGTGTACGTTTTTTTTTTTTTCGGTTTTTCTTATGAATACGAATTACAGTTCTCGTTTTTTTTTTTTTTAACAAAATGTCCTGTGAGAGGTGTTTTACTCATTACAATCTAATCAATAAAAACGACCAGTGGGTAGTTTAATTTTAACTCAATTGACTTCGATTTTGAACTTTTATAACTAAGGCCTTACTCAATAGTGTTCTTTAGAGTTTAATAAATAAACTAATTATACGTAAAATTTAAGGTGTACACTTTTCGAACTATGCTGTTTTTTCACTATCAGGTTAACTCTAACGGTTTAGTCCTCTTGAGTCTTCGTACTTAGTTTGTGTTGTCTCTCTAGGAGCTGGATAAATAAATCTTTGTTCATGACTTCTGGCGAACTTGGTAATAGTTTCTTTGACATTCCATTCCTCAGAGTTGCGGCAGTACATGGGTGCATCTACGATGTTCCTTAGTATCTTGTTTTTTAATTACTTTGATGTTGCTTTTACTGGAAAAACTCTAAAGCTGGATACCATATCGCGCAACCTGTGTACTCGCGCGCAACCTGTGTAGGTCATAAGCGAGTCGTACGGTGGTCCATGTTTATTCGATAAAAATTTGTTAATTAAATTATATATATTTATTTATTTGTATCTGATTGTATTATCATTATCTTGTTCTTGTAAAACACTATTTCTTTTTGAATAAACATTATTATTATTATTATTATTATTATTATTATTATTATATGTCCAGACAGGTTTTAGGATTCGCTTGTAGAGAAGCAATTTATTATCTGTTGAGAGCTTGGCATTTCTTCCCATCAGCCAATACATTGTCTGTATTTAATTTTAATTTCTTCTCATTTCTTTTTGACATACAGTACCCAGCGGAGTCTAGCGTCTAGATGAATACCCAAATATTTTACTGAATAATCATCATTTATTCTGATTAGAATGTGTTGCTTCTATTTATTTGTAAAGTTGACGTAAATGGACTTATTTTGATTCAATTTAATGCGCCACCTTTTAGTCCAGATATATCTGTATCTGAAACTGTTTCAGTTAATACGTCGAGAAGAGTACTTCGTCCACGACACTGAAGGTGGCTGTCGCAGTTGCAGCTGAAACGTTTGGTAGTAATAACCATGAAAGTCACAGCATAACAGCCCGGAGACAAACAATTACAAAGGAAAGATTGCTATCAAGAATAATACCCAAAACACGGATTACTTGAACTCTTTGTATTGGATTATTATCTATAGTGTAATCAAAGGTAATTGTTGTTTTAAGTTTATAGAATGTCAAACTGTAACATTTAGTAGGGTTCAACCGCATGTCGATATTCAAACACTGATTACACAGTGTATCATTATTCTTCTCTAGTAGAATACAATCTTCGAGTTCATTTACTTCTCCACATACAATTTAAGATCGTTAGCAAATGAAAGGACTTACATAACTTATTCTTTACAAATTAAATCAAAGGGGACCCAACTGGGAACCTTGTGGGATGCCAGATGAAATCCTGATTGCATATGAACGGAAGTTCTCAATCCGTACAATTTGAGATCTGTTAAGCAACTAAATTTCCAACCACTTAATTAAGCACGGGGAATGTTAAAAAATCCAATTTAGAAACCAATAAAAGGCTTTAGTAAAATCTAAATAGCACCTAAAGACTGCTTTAGACTACACAATTTATTGTACAAGATTTGATACAATTTCTCGTACAATTTAAATTGTGTAGTATCATACACGATTTTTTAAACAATTTACTGAATTATACAACACAATTTAAATTGTATCAAATCTTGTACAAGAAATTGTGTATTCTAAAGCAGTCTTAACTGAGAAACAAATTTAAGGGCGATATCGATATAATGAGATGTAATAAAATTAGCTGAAGTTGATTTTCCCTACACAAAACCATGATAATGACTTTTTTTTATCTTTATCAGTTGTAAGCAGGTAGGGTTAGGTTTGGCCCAGAACACTGCGGCCTCTTGGGTCTATTGTATTCCCCTGCTTTCCCCATATTCAGGTACTACCTTTGGAGTAGTCCTGTGTCTTTGGTTAGTTTTAATAGGTTCCCTACCAAGTGTTCCTGGGGCGTTCTTTCCGGTTCTAGGCCGAAAAGGATGAAACGCCGCCTAGTAAGATCTTCGCATTCGAAGATCACATGGTATCAGGTTTCTTCCTCTTCCATGCAAAGTCTACACGTAGTGGGATCATTGTGTAATCCCATTACATGAAGGTGTTTCAGCAAGCAGTGCCCCGTTAGTAATCCCACAATGGTGGATATCTGAGGCCTTGCGAGTTGTAGTGCCTCAGTAGCAATGAGTGGGTTTGGTCCCCTTAGCATGAGCTTACTGATTCTGTGCCCTCTTATCTGTTGCCAGTGAATTTGGTGTTTTGTGGTTATCCACCTGTTCTCTGCCTGTCAAGGTTTAGCTCATCCCAAATAGAGGTTCGGGTCCTGTGAATAGTAGATCTGATCACTCTTTAGCGAGTTCATTAGCCTTTTCATTTTCTTGGATACCTTTGTGCCCACGCTAGTTTTACCTTGTGGGTTGCCAGATCATTTAGTATTCCAAGGCAGTTCCAGACAAGCTTTGACTTGATTCTGTTTGAATCAAGAGCCTTTAAGGCTGCTTGGCTATCTGAGAGAATTAGGATGGTTTGTTTTTTGTACTTCCTTCTTAAATTCTCTCGTACACACAATTCGATTGCATGTATTTCAGCCTGAAATACAGTGGCATGTTTTCCCAGTGAGACGATGATGTCGCATTTGGGTTTAATTCCATGTACGCCAGAGCCTGTTCCCTTGTTAGTTTTAGATCCATCTGTATACCATACGAGACTGCTAAACAAGTATTTATCTATCTCCTTATTTACCTCGTTCTAGCTACAGTTGATCTGGAAGAGTCTGTTAAAGATTAGGTGGGGTGTCATGTGATCTGATCCCATATTTAATATAGAATCATTTACTTCATGTGTTATTCTGGTATGTTTTATATGCCCCAGTGGGTTCCAGTTGTTGGAGATTTCCAGTCTGTATGCACTCATTCTGGCCATGTTAATGACTGTTAATTAAATGTTTACAATGTCAACGCAAATAATGGTCAATAAGTTTTTTCAAACAACTTACTGAATGATACAGCAGATAGTATGGAAATTAGACGTTATAGCCATCTTTTTTAGACCAACTCTTATTGCATAGGAGTCACATAACTGTTTTCTAAATGGTTGGAAACGTGATCTAGCCTTTTATAAATATTTTGGGACTAAATAGCTACTCCTTTAATATGTTGATATGAAATACTTCAACATTATGGAATGGTATCAAATTAGAGTTTTCTCGGTTTCTTCTCGGGCTAGATGATCTGTTTCTTTATGTCCCAGATCCATTCAAGAGTTACCTTGTTATATTATCTCAAGGAAAGTATTAGCAGTACTATATATTGCATTAAATAGAAAACCGAATATTCAGGTCTTGAATCACATAACATTTCATTACAAAAGAAGTAAACACTGATAATAGCACTGGCTCAACTCCCCAACTGGTTTTGATTAGAATCTAAAGATAGGTATGTCAAGATTCAGTATAGCTAGACCCATTATTTTTTATTTCATATAGTGCATTTCTTAATTCGCGCCCACAGGACACAGATTCATTCCTCATAGGAAATTAGAAATATTTTCTATGTACAACTTTTTATTTTGCGACTTATAAAATAAATTGTGCTTAAAATAGGAAAATATCTCAAGTATATTTTTTGGAAGAAGTAATTTGTATGAAAATTATTTTCAAAAATCAGTGGCGTAACACGAAATTTTCTCGAAATGTGTAACTGCTGCTCCGCACCTACGCCACTGTAATATTGTGAACCGCGTATGTGCATTTTATGAATTTTTCAGGAGAGCATTAAAAAAAGTTAAAGTTCATATGATAAATCGCATTGTTTTACACTAACTAAGAAGATTAATAGTTATTAGCAACTAGTTGTCTATGTACTACGGGACAAAATAATATGTAACCATAATTAAATATTTTACCGCTGAAAACAAGAAAGTGATAAATTTACATATTAATTGTTTTGGCATGGCACCGTTACCATTTAGAATGAAATTTGGGAAATATATTTACATAATATATTTAGTAATGTGAAAGTTATTTAATAAAAATATTTTTTTCCAGAGAAAGTTTAAAGCCATGTAAATCTATTAATAAAGACCAAAATAAAAATAAAAAAAATTTCATACGAGGAAGGAGCTTGCTTGTGCTCTTTGGAGTACGAATTCGGAAACACCCAGTATATGGTAACCTATATATTTACTTATAAAACCGTTGCAATTTCAAAATTATGCGCAAAGAAAATAAAAGTAATGAATAAAAATAATTATTACTAAAACAATATTACCACAAAAAAAAAAATTAAGAAAACGACTTACTTGTATCCAACATCTATAATAGAGGGTGTGTACAAAATCAGCAAAAAGAAACATTCCTATAAAAATAAAAAAATAAAACGTAAATAAAACAAACGATACAACTGGAAGTAAAAATAAAATTAAGTTTAGTTTACGATAAAAAAAAATAAACCTAAAAGTTTAACGAGAAACACATTTTGATCGAAGGCATATCGTAAAACCGCGTTCGCTTACAACTTGTTGAGAGATAAGACATTAATGAGGAAACATCCTGGAATGAATGTACGTATACATTTATATAAATTCTTTTATCACTTACAAAGACAATTGCTGCATTCTGTAGCAACATACTGATAGATTATCCAACTTTCCAACTCTAGCATGGTGGTCATTTTTAGGCAAGAATATCGGCAGTGATTTAATTCGGTTTTAGACCATCTGAAACAAAAATAAAGATATTATTACACGATAATAATAGTAGCATAATCAACGAGATATTTTTTAGAATTATAAACGAAACAGAATAATTTTAGTTTCGTGTACCGTGGAGTGAGCAGATAAGCTTGCGGTTTCTAGTTTTCTGTCTGTCTACAGATAAGGAAAGTATAAGAATCATGATTTTTTTCGACTTCGAGTTTTTGACAGATTTTTACGTTTCGAGGTCCACTGAAACTGTTTTGACTATTTTCGCAATGTCTGTGGGTGCGCGCGCGCGTTTGTCTGTACACTTGAGGTCTGTTCCAACATGCGCGAAAACCGTAATATTACCGTACAAATCGTACGCTCTACCCAAAAATGGTATACAGCGCATGATTGGTACGGTAATATTACGGTTTCAGCACGTGTTGGAATAGACCTTCGATAATTCATGAACGGATACACAGAAAAACACCAAATTTTAAATTTATAATCTATCCTGTAGTGAACTGATTAGATTTTGGGATAGTCGGAACTTCTGGGGGATTACTTTATAGGAGGCCGTTTTTTTACTTTATGATAGCTGTTGTCCGCGGCTGCGCACGCGTGGAGTCATGTTTTTAGTATAAAAAAATGCATGACTTCCTAAAAAAAGACGCGATTATATATTGTTTCACTGTTCACGGTATGTTTGTGATAGTACTATAGATTAATGTGATAGTACTATAGATTAATGTTATAGCGTCTTCGAATCTAGTGCACGGCTTGCACTGAGTGCCTACGAAAGGTGGGAGATATGTCAATACCAGTTACTTTTCAATCTGAAATGTAACCGGTATCGATATATCGCTCATCTTTTATGTGCACTCCACGCGGGCAGGGCAGTGGAATCGAAGACGCTATTAATTAGACTATTCTAATATTTATAGTATATTACGAGTGTGGAAAGTGACATTTTTCACACGCGCGGGAAATATTGTCGCACTAGGCATAAGCCGAGTGCGACAATCACGCAAGTGTGAAAAATCACTTTCACACAAGTGTTGTACAATATTTTTCCTACGACCACAAAATAATTTTATCAAAAAAATGCAAAACTAGAAAATCTGGCTATAAAGGTTAGCTGGTTTTAGATTTGTTTTTTATATGCCTTATTGAATCATTTTTCAAGCGTTTTACATTACAGATAGTGTTTTGTCAAAATTAAAAATATTGTGATTCCATTTATAAACAATTTCATAGGATCATAAAGATAAAATAACATTAGTTACAATTGTTTTAAACAAATATGTTGAATAATCGTGAACAAAAACTTTTTTATTATTAATGGTTACTCACTTCTTTACTCACAATTTTTTTCTGAACAGTAAATATAATATTACAAAATATTGTAGGGGTTATAATATGATAATTTGAAAGAGTCAGACGGTAACCCATTTACGATATCATGGTTGTGTGATATCTTATTAAATATGTATGTGAACAAAAAAAAAAAAAATAATGTACGTAGTTACTTTAAAATTATTTTAATAATTTGTTAAAAAGAAATATCTAAAAATTAATGTTAACAATTTAATCATTAAATCGACTTTACTATTAAAATGGACATTACATCAATCAAAATATAAATTAGACGTCTGACTTATTTGAGAGCTTATGCGGAAAGTAGATTCATATTCACAGACGTGTGGAAAGTAAATTTATCCACACGCGTTTGATATAAGGCACTTTATATACATACTTTCAAACAAATTTTCACACCCCGTTTCCCCCCTTAAAATGTGAAAATGCAAAAACCCTAAAAGGCTTTATTATTTATTTATGATGAGAACCTACAATTCCAATTTTCAAGTTCCTACCTTTAAAAAAAATCGGTACTTTCAAATAAACTTTTATCCCTGGTTCCCCCCCTTAAAATGTAAAAATCCAAAAATCCTGAAACACGTCATTATAAGTTTGTACTTAGTAGCTGCAATTCCAATTTTCATGTTTCTAACTTTATAGAGAACCAAAAACATAAATACTCCCAAATAAATTTTCACCCCCTATTTCCCGCCCTTAAAATGTGAAAATCCAAAAACCCTGAAACAAGTCATTAATAATTTGTAGTCAGAAGCTGCAATTCCAATTTTCATATTTTTATCTTCAAAGGGAACAAAAAAATCGATAGTCTCATACAAACTTTCACCCCCCGTTTTCTCCCCTTAAAATGTAAAAATCCAAAAATCCTGAAACACGTCATTATTTATTTATGCTTAGGCTTTAATTTAAATTTTCATGTTTCTAACTTTAAAGAACAAAGAGTTTCATTAAAAGCTCCCTCCCCATTTCCCCACTTTAAAGTTAAAATTTCCAAAAATCCTTTCTTAGCAGATTCTTACGTTATAAAATAAATCTATGTTTAAAATTTCAGCTTTCTAGGCTCAGTAGTTTTGGATGTACGTTGACAGGTCAGTCAGTCAGTCAGTCAGTCAGTCAGGACAAACAATTTTATATATTAGATATGTTATTTACGCTTGGAAAAGAATATTCTTCAAATAAAAGTTGCTTTTATATTATTCTCTATAATTTTTGTCATATACATAATTTTCCTTGAATGGTCTGTTTTCGAGAAATTTAACCAAAAAGTACAAAATTCGAATTTTTAAAAAAATTGTTCCAATAAAAGTTGTTTGCAATATCACTCTGTATAATTTTTGTTTTACAAATTTATTTAAAATGGACCGTTATGGAAAAATTTGAGGAAAAGTGTAATATTTTTTATTTTAGTATTTTCGTCGACAATGAATATATATAAAAAAAGTTACTCGAGAAAGATGTGTATGGAAGATGTATGTATTTAGTTCATCCTCTAAACTTTACAGGGGTGATACAATACGTTGAACAAAATAACCGGAACAGGAGAGCCATGTGTTGGACACATCAGATTTTTATACATTGTATATACTACGAGTATCTAAAGGCATAGTGCTACCGTTTTTTTAAGTATTTAGATAGTCTTTAGTCGTTATAGGCAATTAAATAAAATAAGAAAAATATCAACGATTTGTCTTAATCAATTAGTCAAAATCATTTCAAATTACCCTATTATAAGTAACTAAAATTAAATACTATTCACATTAATATTTTTAGTAGATTTGTGCTATGACATAATTATTTTGTTCTACGCCCACATGGATATTAGCTTATCTACGCAGACTACAAAACGAAAAAGTATGCTATTGCGTTCAACTAAACGAATAAATTTCATATCCATTCTAGGTAGTGAGAATACTGCAAAGATTAAATCAACCAATCAGAGTTCATATTTTGGTCAACTGACTGTTTTTAATTTTAAAATTTTAAATAAGTGACAATTCTGTCAAACTATTTGCCAGTATATTTTTTATTGATATTAAATATACATTAAAATGAGTTATTCTTGTACAGAATAGATAAATAATGGCACTTCTATTTTATTTTGTATATAATTAATTTTAAATAATTCTTTAATTTTAATAAAACTATATGAAGTCAATTTAATTAAGAGTTTTAAAGAAAAAATGTCAAGTGTTTCGATATTGGTGAGGTCAGAGCACTTGCCTTTCATGCGAAAGGTCCGGGTTAAAATCTAGGATAGGGACAAATTAAATTAAATTAAATCTTTTTTGTTTTTTTTTTTTTATTTTATTTTATAAAACAGTAAAAGTCATAAATTATTTTTAAACTAGTTATTTTATCTTAACCTTGAAATTGTAAAAAATCACAGCCCATCTCTTATTGACACAAGGATTCCTTTAAACTTATGTAACTTATAATAAGGTATACTTAAAATCTGTCATTAACTACATTTATAAACAACTCAATTGAAAATTTGTAACAAAAATATCATCGTCTACTAGATAGGCTCAGCGGAAAGTGAACAGCCCTCGTATATTTGATTATCAATCAGCCAAAAATATACCAAATTACCCTAATTGTACGTAAACTAAAATTAAATATAATTTATAGTAATATGAATGTGTAAATAAACAGTTATTTATCCTTGATGGTGCCATTTGACTTACAGGTGAGGAAAACCCGGAAAACCCCACCCACCATCATCGAAAGGTCATGTAAATTTTTTTTGTGTTAAATATTAATCATTATTATTTTAAAGTATCTATCCTATCAATACCTTAGATTTAAGTTTAGGGGTAGGTATAAGAATAGCTAAGCTAAATCTCGCTCTATAAACTTTACTTTAACCAAAATCCTGGCTACGCCCATGGAACAGGTTCAAAATAATATGAAACATATAGGAAAATGAAAGATTTTGTATTTAAAGTGTGTATAGGAGAAATTGTTTACTTTATTTTAAAAAATTAGTCAAGCGCTTTCGCCGATTAAGGCATCAGCAGACTTCGTCAAAAAACCCCGTAAGACAAGAAGAAAACGACATCTACTACATTATACAATAGTTACGAACTCTGGCCAACGTAAGCGTAAAGCCACAACATCGAGACCCACCACCAATTGATCAAAAACTGTTTATATTCACATTTATACGCTAATTTATGACTTAATTAATTTATATATACTCAAATTATATTCTAATTTATATATTATCACATTTACTTAAGTACTAATTTATGTGAACATTTACTATATCGATCTGCTCACAGATAGTAAAAAAACCCATGTATATAGAAAAAAATGGAATCCTCTCGAAGCTTCCACCAAATTCCTCTATTATACATATTACAATATGACCCCTTCGCAAAAAAATGCAATTTCGTATCATTTATCGAATATTCTACTGTGTTCCAGAATATTGATCGGTGTTGGCCATAGGCGTTCCATTTACCACGGTCGTAACATTAAGTTGGGTTTCGGAGTTGACTAATTTCCTTGAATATGTTTGGCAATCCGACAAGTGAGGCACGTAAGGGATTGGAGTATGGCCGGACTGGTCAAAAATGGTTCGCATTACGGTATGTTTTAAATAGAAGGAAACAAATTAAATTTGTGATTTTAAAGCGTGTTTTCTAAACGAATGAGAA